AAACGAAAAAAAAAATCGGTCCCGCGTCCAGGTTTTATGAGTACTACGGTAATAGCTTATTCCCTATATGGGAAATTCGCTAATAGGTTTTTGTCAGCTGTTTCAACTACACAAACTGGTTCTATAATATTAAATAGCATTAAAAAGTTATAAGGTTTACTAACAGGGTGCAGCACTATTAATTTTTTTTTGCATTTATGAGAACATCTAATTTGAACTAACTAGCAACAAAAAGCTATAAAAAATTAGTATTTCACTTTTTTATTGTTTGTAGAACATTATGGCCATGATAGATGTGCTATACTATAGCATACCGTAAATTAAAAGATCCAAATTTTCTTAAACTGTGTCCCCTCCCATTGCAAACACAAAGAACGAGTAACTGCAATAAACATGTTATACTTACTTACGGCAACCCTGTACAAAGGACGAGTACTCTACTCTGCTAGTAATTTAATAAACAAAAAATACAATAGGCTACATTTATTAATGATAAATTTTTTTTACAGGTACAATAATTAAGTAAAATTAAAACATTGAATTAAATAATATATGGCCCAACATATAGCCACTCTTTAATATGTTTTGGTTAAAGAATCCGTTTATTTTTATGTTTTATGTTTTGAGGTAGTCTCTATGCTTTTGGAGGAGACATATTGTTTTTTATACAGTAATAGTTTACTAGCATCAAGGAAGTTAAAGGTCACTTCTCAACTTATTAGGCCTTATTGAGCCTTTTTATTAGGGGTTCACCACAGGTAGGCCTACCAACCTTATTATTTGTGTTTATATCGCTTGAGATCTATAATGAACATTATATGTTCCTGCGAGTGAATAGGCTAGGACTATGCTTTTGGTCTCTACTCAAAACTATCTCTTTGGTTCAAGTCATCCTTAGTCATCCTACATGTAAATGACTGCTTGAGTAAACTTACAAGGAACAAATAGGACAACGCGCTGATACGTTTTTTCAAGCTGTTAAGTTGGTGATATACAGAGTGCGGCAAAAGACTGATCTATTTTATGAAGCGCACTGTTCACCAACAGGTCATCTGACAGTTGTGGGGTTAGGATATGCTAGTTGAAAATCCTACACGATGCCATTATCTGTGATCATAGAACAGAGGTCTTCTAAGCATCGTGCGACTTTTATAGAGTAAAATTAAAAAAGTAATGATTCAGTCATTGCAACTCAGCGGCATTTCCATGCGTTCTTTAAATTAGGTCGACATGGAGAGGTTCCGATGCGATTATCTGTATAGATAATCAACAAAAACAGAGAATAATACAAACTAATCTGTAAGGGTAAGAATTAAGATCATATCTCAAAATTAGTGTAACCGAGTTGTCAGACATGTTCAAAGCAGATGGTTGATTTTGAGCGGGCCTACGAGGAATGTTTTCCACAGCAGCACAGACTCTATCGAATGTTAGTTGTCTGACGTCTGATCCGACTTTGCAGGGTTTGTCAACTTCTTTTTGAACGCAGAAGCCATTGTTCTAAAGTTGGTAACCCGCCACATGATTGTGCCACTTGACGGAATCAGCTTCAATCTGTAGGTTCCGTCCCTTAGTTGCCATTGGCTGTTAGGGGGATTAATTACAGTAGACCCCCTCTTAACCGACCCTAATGGGACCGGACCTAGGTCGGATAACTCAAAAGGTCGGATAAAACGGACAATCCCTAAAATCATAACATAATGAAGTGCTATTCATTTGGAATTATATAATCATTATTTTGAAATCATAATTGCATTATTTATCAAGTAAACTACTCTTATCTCCTTTTTCCTATTGATAGAAAAGTTACAAATAAACACAAAACACGGTTAAGTCAAATAGGCCTACTTTCAGTGGAATATATTATAATACTAGGCAAGAGTCAATAAAATTCCTATTTTAATAACTTTAGTACTGTAATTTATTAATTGATGCTTTACAAATCCATCGTAATACGGTACAGAACCTTTTGTCAAAATTAAAGATACAAGCAACCATTTTGTTACAAGACAGGACGTTTATTTATAGCCTCTCACTGGAGGCTCGAGGCACAAAAACTATCTTGACCTTGGAGCTGTTAACCCCCCTTCCCTGCCCTCCCTACAAGTTGCGTTGTTTGTTTTGTTTACTCCAGCGATAAGATAATCAGTTCTCAAAATCGTAACACACTTTATTATGTTATACATTTGCCGCACAGATAACAAATCAGATCAGATGCGCTCGAGCTACGAACGATGATGACAAACTGACAATAGGCTGTGCTATATTTTTTGTGATCAACACAAAATAACTTATTCTTAGTCATATCCTGTGGAGATAAGCGTATGGTTCGGTTCTCATCGCCCAGCGTGGGAGCGGAAATGCCGAGATTCCTAGAAAGCGGCGGTTAAAACGAGCTGCTCTCAAAGCAAGGTCGGTTAAAACAAACTGTATTATTTTACGATCGAAGGCGGATAATCCGATTATCGGTTAATACGAGGTCGGTTAAGAGGGGGTCTACTGTAACAGTCGTGCAAGGAAAATGTCGGCCAAAGTTAGTCAGTAACAAGATTACAAAATCGCGCCACTCATCTGCAAAAATGCAACTCTCGTACTCTCTACTAACGTTTTCATGATTCTTGGTTTCATTTTAGCCAGCAACGTCGTTAGTTTATCTTTATCACCTGTTTTTATTGCTCCCAGTCCTTCAATTCACGTCTGCCGGCCAAAGCCAATTACGTGTTCACTACCAAAGCCTAGCAGACAGAGTCCATTTTGTTGTGACAAGTAATGCAACATTTTACATTTTCGCATACAATTGACAATCTAGCACGAATATTGAACAGAAACGGTGTAGACTAATAAATATTACAAAATTATGTCACTGGCTTGAATGTCTATAACGTAGGCCAACAGCGGTAACTGGTTTGGATGTTTTTTTTACAGTTCCATTTAAATAGGTAATAATAAAAATGTGTTTACTTTCAGGCCATTGACATCATTTTTATTATGTTTAAGTTTATGACCCGTTAATTACAGATTCTGTTCAGTATAACTTAAAATTTTGGCTAAGTTTATGTAGGCTAGGCTACTAAGTTAGGTTTACAATTTTGCTAGCCCGTTAATTTTTATCCACTATTATACCCTAGTAAGTTACTTAAGGGCCACCAGCTAAAATCTCCTCTTTTTTACACATTAACTTACCATATGGTAACCCTATCTAAACAGCTCAGGTTTGTAAGGCTTCCTAATTTGTTTGGGAACTATCAACATAGCAAAGTTCGGCCGCTTAGAAAGCAGCCTGCGCGCTAATGCTAACCAATACTAGAGGAGGTCACTTTCTTAGTGGCCGAAACTATAGAGGTTATTAGGCCTAATTTGGGCTGCACTTTACTTGACGTCCTACACTCATTCGAATGAAAATATCGATCGATATATCGATTAATTCATTGCTTCATTCGATATATCGTTTGGTTAGTTAGGTAAGTTTAACCTAACCTAACTAACCAAACGATATATCGAATAAAACAATCGAATGAAAATATCGAATAGAAAAAAACAATCGAATGAGTGTAGGACGTCAAGTAAAGTGCAGCCCTAATTTGGACAACCAATTAAAACTTTAGAAGAAAGTCATATTAGGCTAGTATGTCTATAAAACTTTAGCTACCTATACCTAGATTTATTTGGATTTTTTTTTTTTTTTGTCCTAAGGACGCTAGGCACGAGCCTGGGATTGTTTTTCACATTACTTCAGGCTAAACCTAGGGGTTGCGGCATTATCACTTAGATAAAATCCATTGGTGACTTGGCGGGGATCGAACCCGGGACCTCAGGGACTGAAGTCCCGCGCTCTAACCACTACACCAGCTCGCTCCCCAGATTTATTTGGATTGGATCTGGCTAAATTTTCAGATAGGCGTAGCAAAGCTTAGTATAGTTTAACTAGTCCCTTGTGTCTTGAAGACCAAAATAATAAAATATGCTATAGGCCTACTGTTGGTTTAATCATTATTTTCTTACCTGGAAGAGTTTAGTGATACGATCATCAAAGTTTCTAGATAGTAAGTAAATAGTTTGCTTATTCGATTTGTTTTACAAGGTTTTCTCCTTCAAGTTCTTTCTAATCTTCTAAAATGAAACGAAAACAAACTTAAGTTTAACCAAAAGCTAGACAAACAGTGAGTAAACACAAACAAAAAACAAACAAACACCGGTTAATTGTTAATTCAATTCCAAATCCCTGATTCCCTCCAACCAATAACCAGTCAGTGTGGCCACACCCGATTCCAAACAAAAAATCAGCTGATTGTATTGCCATATATAAGAATATAATATTTGTTTTGATTTGATTGCTATTGTTTTTATAATTTGTGTGTTTGCAATCTGAGTGACGAAGCGTTTGACAGGGAGAATAGGTAATAGGATTCTCACAAAAATTAGCATCAGGTGTGGAAAAATAAGATAATAAGCTATTTAAAATTATAAATTTATTTTAAAAATAGCTGTTTGTTTTTGGGGGAAATTTATCTGTATGTTGGGATTTAAAAAATGTGAAAAATGTTAACTCGTTTTGGGAGGAATAAGGCCGACTTATTCCTTAGACAAAGCTGTTAATTAATAGCCCATACAGCTAATGACAACTAAAGGGACCTACTCCTACACAGTTTGTAGTGGAATCCGAACCACATTTTTGACTTGGTATATACGAATTGGTCAGATTTTCAGAGGATAGTTCTGCGGAGTGCGGATTAGTGCGGATAGCCGTAGTACTCAGTACTCACTTGTGGGGACGTTAATCCACACCAGGGAGTATCGCATACACAGTGCATGCCTCGAAAGCCTAAAACTCTTAAACTTTAGTAAATACCCTAGACATGGGCTATTGGTACGCTACAGGCTATAAATTTAATAAAGTAATATTGCAACATATTTTATCAACGAGACAATTTGTGTCGGTAGCATGTAAGCTATTTCGTCACATCTATATACTGTGTTTAAAATGTTATTCATTTTTTCAGATCCTGAGCAACAAGCCAGGCATAGTGACGGAGCAGGAAGAGTTGGGGACGGACTGGCTGGACAGTGACTTTATTGCAGAGTGTTTATGTTGGCACAACGTCTACAGACAAAGACACAGGGTTGCTTCACTAACTCTGTGTCCTCAGGTATTATGAAGGGTTTTATTAATGCATAGACTAGAGAGTTATATATATACAGAGAGTTTTTAATAACTCGTATCTCTTATCTTTCCTTTACTTCAGGTTTCAATGAATATTTATTTTGTGTCAAACTTCTTACTGACAGGGAACGGTTTATATCAGTTTTGATTTGGTTCTTTTCCAGACATCGAACACTCTGTTGTATCCATTAGGGTTTTTTTTTCTCATTAAGCCCTTTAGGTTTGTTAGCTCATAGACCTATGCTAAAAAGAACTCTATTATCATGCTTATGAGAAATCTAAGCTTGGTCCAAGATTTTGGCTGTAGCTCACTTGGGCACCTACACTTTCAAAGCGAAGTGGTTGACTGTGGCCAAACTGTCATGCTACACAATACTCTGTAATCCTTAAAAACTAACTAAGAAGGAATTTCCCTGGTCCTAATATCCAGAGTGCAAACATGTTTTCCTACAGTCACCCGACAAAGTTGGCTTCCTTGTACTGTTTATAGTACAGAAAGCTGCTAATTGCTGCATATTTATACTTTTCCGTACGGTTTATACTTTGCCGTACGGTTTATACTTTGCCGCACATCAGGATTCCAACGAAACAACACAAAACAGCGTGGTTTTATTATGCACGTAATCCGTGTACGCTTGGAAATAGGTTGGCAACACTTAAAGATAAAAATACTATGAGCAGCTGATTGACTATTATAACTACGATTTAACCTGTCATTTCGTGTTTATAGTTTCGGTATTTCTGAACTTTCTGGACTTTTCTTTTAAACGTTTTTAAAACATTCGTACGATCTTAATAAACAAGAAAATACCTTTAAAGCATTTTTTTAGACGCGGAAACCACTTCAAATTAGAAAAACATACGGAACTATATTCTCAAAACGCGGAGCACATTTCTTGCCGAGGAAAAATAGCGGAGTGATACGGACCGCGGGTACTACTTTCTCTAGGGCACCATTTGTGTTGCCAGCTGAACCTAAAAACGTGTTGTATAGTGTTTGAAAGACTAATTATTTATATGCTTAATAGTGACTGTAGGAAAAATATAATGTGTAACACGAGTGAAAAATGCCTTTGCTGCACTCGAGATCATTCCGCACTCGCCTGCGGCTCGTGCGTAAACATTGCTCTCGTGTGCAGCAAAGTGCCACTTTCACCACTAGTTACACAAATAACTATTTCTTACCATGAGTTGTCAATAAACCTGAAATTGTTACAATACTACTGATCTTTTTCCTACAGTTACCTGGTAAAGTGGACTTACTTGCACTGATTATAGTTGACTTTTTGTGGAAAATGAAGTGTCTGTTGTAAACACTGAAAAACTATTGACAACAACTAAGTACAGGGTGGGCAAGGAGAGCTTCCCAATTTTCTTTTGCTTTTACATAAGTAACATGCAACAAGAATGAAAAGCTGTGCTTATAAACATATCCATCAAACTACTATGCCATTGTTGTAAAAATTTTTTCCAATGTGGTTATTGGCCCTTATGGTTAAGCTGTGGAAATCTATTTAAAAAAATTGTGATTCTTGTCCAAACAACCAGAGATTGCTCGGACCTCATTCCATCCTTGGTTGATATGGCGGTGTTCCAGATTGGAAAACAATAGGGAACTGGGTAAAACTATTTAGAGTAGCAGCTTAAACCCTAAAAATATTCAGTGGAAGCAGCAAAACTCTTCGTACACAAGCAATTTTTGAAAGAGTGTGAGTCAAAGTAACTCAAAGTCCAAAGAGGTTTGCCAGGAAGATTTCGTTGTTGGAAGCTTTATGGTGGCTCTATTATTAGTTTCTTTCCCTCCCTACAAGCTAATTTAAGTTAAAGGTTTTTAAAGTCGCACCGGAGATGTGCATGAACTGAAGCTAAGAAAGGTCCAAAAAAGAAATTAAAGCAATTCCTCAAGAAGTATTCAATGGAAATTTCATGCAACTAAAAAGGAATCTCAAGTTGGTCAAGGACATCTCTTGAAGGATGTTGATTTCAAGAAAAGGAAAACTCTTTCTCTCTGAAAAGGAGACTCTGTGAAATTAAAATGGCAAAATAATAGCTGCATCTTGATGTGCTATTTTTATGGATAGAGGTATATAAATTAGGACATTTCATTGTCTCACTCTTTATAATCAACAAAAAACTATTTTTTGAATGGTGTAATGTAAACATTTGTTTTAAATGTGTATTCAAACTTCAATGTAAATGCAGCCTCAGTGCAGACACTAATTGACTTATCTAGTCATTCGTAATGTATGGTAAAGGAATAGACTGTTAATTAATTGTATAAACACATTAATCTGATGTACCATATTATGTTTTCTAGCTATGTCAGAGGGCACAATCATGGGCCAATCATCTGGCTCACACAAACACCTTCTTCTACCAACAAGCAAAGGACGTCGGCCAGAACTTATTCTGTCGTCTGACGAACACTCTTCAAACTGACCTAACTGGACAAGAGGTTGCGTCTTATTGGTACAGTGCCGTACGACAGTACAACTACATGAAGGAACCTGATGTCCTGCATGCCAACGTTAATGCTGGTAAATGTAGCATCTGTAAGAAATTAATTGATTAGAGATTGCTCAGCAGCTGATTAGTATTTGAGGTTATACTGCTTGCGTTACAATCAGGTTGCTGGCTCTGTCCTGAGAAAAGTCAGTAGCTTTTGATGGTTTGGAACCGTACCCCCTGTCCTCCATTGGGATTTAAATGGTCCTGAAAAAAAAACAGCTGGTCTTAGTTACATTTTTTAGGTATTACCATTTGGAAACCGGTTGCCAAAGTTTGTCTAAATGGTGATCGGTATCAACACTCTTAAGTAATAAGTGATAAGGTGCTTGTGTCATCGTCATGAAGTTGCTACTCTTGAAAGGTATAAGAAAGTCTTTAAAATGCATACAAAAATACCATTAAAAAAACTGCATGACCATAGAGCTAATTATTGCGGCTAATTAAAGACTTTCTGAAGACCTCCTAGGGGCAACGACTTCATGATATTTTAGAAAAAAAGAAAAAAATAATCGCATCTTATATCTTTACAATAATAATGACGATGTCAATTCCAATAATGTATTGTTTAAAGACTGAATAAATGACTATTCAATGACTATTCATGCTTTAAGGTTTGACATTTCAAAACCGCTCCCCATACAGATGATGACTTTGGCAACCAAGTATCCAACCTCTTGTGTAACAAACCTACACAAATTATCTTTTCCCACACTCCTTCTTGCTTTCATACTTTGTTTGAAATGTGCCTTAGTTGCATACCCATCTAAAAATAGGGTCAGTGTTATAAAGATCAAGATATTAGTGCAGGGTACAACATTATAGTTTAAAGTACCGATGACAGAGTTTAATAAGAGTCTGTTCCGGTTGCATGTTGTGTTTCCGTGATAAGCATAAATTTTTACAAATATTCATTTCTGTTTTTTATGTGTTGGGTGTTGAATGTTTGTACATATTTAAACAATCAATGAAGCTAATCAAGCAAATTTTATGTATTCCCAGGACTAGTGTGTTTGACAATATTTTTAAACTGCATTACAGCTAACAGTCCATGTATTTAAAAGCATCTCTATGTTCAGGTCATTTTACTCAACTAGTGTGGGAGAGCACAAAGTTTTTCGGTGTGGGAAAAGCGAGGAGCAGATCTGGGAAAATTCTTGTGGTCGCCAACTACCGACCGCCTGGAAACATCACGGGACTGTTTAAAGAAAATGTTTTACCGCCGGTGCCTGATATTGAAGACATGACGAGTATGTCCGGAAGTGACTCGAGCAATTCTCGGAGCGCTGAGTTGACGACGTGAGAATCCTTAGACAATCTTCCAATTAACAAGTGCTTCAAAGCAAGCATTTGCTTGATACTTTTAGGTTAAAATAGAAACAAATAGCAAAGTTAGTCATATTGCTTTAGCTTTTACTGTAGGTTACATTCAGCTCAAATACTGACTGTTTTAATAAGGAAGTATGAGACAGTATGTATTTTAAGAGTTGAATTTTATATTTTGGTGATGCTGAAAATGTTTTAGTATGCAGCCAAATTTTGCTGCGACATGTTTTCTAAACACTTCAATATATTGATATAATGTCTGCAATCTCAATGGAGCAATATCTTTGTCAGGTTGAGTCTTAAACGGAATATCTTGACATTTTTTCAATTCCTGATAAACCTTGTATTTTGAGCTATCTACCATGTTTCTTTAGCCTCTGTGTTATGATAAAACTAAAACTAAAAGAAACTTACCAAAGGCAAAATTTTTAAGTCTACAGTACCACACGCAAGAAGTTGGTCTCATTGCTTTAACAATTTTTATAGCCATAATTATCTCGTTTGAAATATAATTCTTTTGATAAAATGTCTTGAAGGTTTCATAAAAAGCTTCAAGCACGAGTATCACTGATATACAGCAATAATTGTGTCAAAGGTAATATCTTACACTTGACTATGTTAAATTTGATTTAAGTTCACGACTAACAATCATTAAGATGGCCTTTAGGGTTACAGTTATGTTTCATATCAACAAAAATATTATTTACATTTATTGTTGGCGTTAGTAAACAGGCGAGTTCTATTATTAAATTTTTACTTTCGGTGAAGTGTGTTAATTTTAGCAAAGCGTTACTTATACAGGAATATAACAGTAATTCGGCGCTTAAAACCCTTAGCCCAGTCAATAAAGACTAAAAACAGGCTCTTTCCCTGATTATAGACCACGATAAGAGGTACATTTTCTCAAAAGTCCCCACTCCCGTGTGCTTTCCCCCTCACCTCCCCTTGAACTTGATATCTGTTAAAGCACACCTAAAGTAATTTTTAAGATAACATTTACAAGGTTAAAATGTAACATTTTGGTTATTCAGGTTTACTTTTTGATGCATAATTTTGTCAAGTAGACTGATCCGTAGAAGACGACTCACTTGATATGAAACCTGAAATTCAAAGAGCATCCTATGGCACATTGTTGGATAATTACAGACAATCAATATAATTAAAATTGTACGCATCATTTGTGAATTAATAGTTGTTACGAGTCTCAAGTCAAGTAGGCGTTTCTTCAGCTCAGCAATACGCATTATAATATTAGAATACAACAATGTAATAATTTTAATCATAGACGGATACTTGCGTAATCTCGTAAAGACGCTTTAGTTTTAGATTTGGAATAGTAAACGCCAAAAAGCTTGTGCATTGTATGCAACATTATTATATTAGTTGTTTCGCAGAAATCATCATAAAAATACATATTGAAAATTAAAAATATATAAAAATAACCTATTAACAATATTTACGTAAATCCATAGATAACGTACTCCAACTGAACCAAACACATACTGTAGATTAAGTCTGGCTTACTTAATACCTTTAAAATAGTGAGATTTATGATGCTACTAATATTTTTAATAATCATTTAAACTTCTGGTTTTCAGTAAAAAACAGGAATGTTGAACAATAATTACTTTTAAAAGTCAACGCTTTACACTGTATTTTAACACATTTCTTCCTAGTCTCCAGTAATTTGTAATCAAGATTCAATAATGAGATTCAAAAAGCATTATTCAAAATAGTTAGATATCTCAGATCTAAATACTCATAAAACGGCTCAGTAAAATTGCATAAATCAATCATTTAAAGTATCAGGGTGTGTTTGTCTTTAACATGTCTGTAATATAAATTTTGATAATACTATGTCTTAGATTAGCATTTAATTTGTTTATGCATTTGGCATACTGTTTTCTTTGCATCATTAAATACAAATTTGTACATAAGTTTTGTAAACCAATTGAAATTAGTGTAATTTAATATAGCATTGCTTTAGGCTACTTTTAGGCTAGGACAGCATTGAATGAGGTGTAAAAAGATGAAGAGTGGTATAAATATTTTATAAAACGCAAACACAAGGCAATAAATATAAATCCATTTACAGATTTGGTTATTTGAGAGCTCTATCAATGTTAATTCTCCTCAAAGATAAGATCCAATAAGATTTTTTTTCATGCTTTGTGACATACCTACATTGAAAACACACATGTACTACACAGAAATGATTTTCATTCAAGCGAGAAAATATACTTATAACTTGTAAGCAGTGCTCGATTTGTAAAAAATGAGGTACAGAAACTGTATCCTACCGGGAATTTTGACCTTCCCCCTCTCCTGTCCACCATCAAAAAATTGTTGAGCGGTTAAATATTTATACCCCAAATCGAGCACTGCCTGTAAGTGATAAGTAAGCAGTAATGATACTTTAAAACTACAGTCCACCTTCGCTAATTCGAATCCTGATATCTTAAAATATTCAATATCTTGATTTACTTGAAATCCACTTAAGTCTAAGTAAAAAAAAAATACTTAACTCAAAATAATATTATGGTTATATTTCACCTATATGACTATGACAAACAAAAATTACCTTCTTGTCAAACTCTTGAGTAACAGCTGTTTTCAATACATACATTGCTGAAAAGTCAGCTGTAGTCAAGGATATCAGCTCTACATTATTCTGCCTTTGAAATTCGTCCTCTGATTTTGCTGAAAAAAGTCAAAACTAATAAAAATATTACCTTGAAATTCAAGTTAGCAAGAGTAGACATATGTAATCTACTCTTTGTCTTTTTACACAAAAGTTGTTTAAATATGAAAGGTAATGATTGCCGGGCGGCATGCCTTAAGTGTTGCATATCAATTTGAAATCTAAATGTGATTAGATATTTTGTTAAGGATGCAATTCATAGAGAGCTGTAGGTTTTACTTTATATTTGTAAGCTAAGCATTGAATTTCTCTCGCATCAATGTAACGTAAATCACTAGGTGAAAGATTGTATTTATTTATAATAAAATGTTTCAATGCTATGAAGCATTGAATATAATGTTTTATGTTGGCAAAATATAGCTGAACGTTTACGTCCTACACTCATTCGAATGAATATATCGATTGATGTATCCATTATATCATTCGATATATCAAGTTTGGTTAAAAACCTAACCTAACTAACCGAATGAAATAATCGATATATCGAATAAGCTATATATCGATATTTTTCATTCGAATGAGTGTAGGACGTTAACTAAAGTACAGGGTGTTTATAAAAAAACTTTACAACTTTAAACAATCATAAAACCTTTATTTTTTCACTTACAGCTATGAAACAAAAATTAAAATTTAGGAAATTTTCTCAAGTTTTATTTACATGATAAGAAGTTTACCTAACTTCAATGTGTTTCCCGTTGTTTGCTCGCAAAAAATCAAGTCGACATTCCAGTTCTGACCAAACACGACGCAAAATTGAATGATCTATTTCATCAAACGCTCTCCTGATCTTGTGGGTCTTGAAGGAGGATTCCTATTATATCTTGTCCGAAATCTCCGTTGAACAACAACATCAGATTTCGTTTCAATGAACCACTCCACACACTGCGCTTTGATTCGTGCTTCCATTGCGATGCTAATGAGACTTTTCAATTATTTGTTTTTGTTTACCAAACAACAATGTAAGGCCATCAGCTGATTGAACTGCCAGCTGATTAAAACTTTTTGAGCAGCCCTTTCATGTGGTGTCAATAGGAAACGTTTATGTCCCATGGATCATGAATGGGAGAATGTTAAAGTTGTAAAGTTTTTTTATAAACACCCTGTACAGTCGCAAATATGTGTTTATTATAAACGTACAATTGTACTATTATTTCCAATTGAATGCTTCCCGTTTGATTTTATGGAGAAGTAGTAACATACTTATTATGTAATGTACATTATGCCATGTGTACTTGTGTAGCTCAATTTTGGTTCTTCCAACATCAGGTTCCTCTAGATAGACGAATCCAAAACAAGCAATGATTAGAATTTCAACATATTTTAGCTTAACTACTTCCCACAGTTATACAATTTTATTGCAATATTTATATGACACTTAGAAAGGTTTTATTTATGTTTATACCATTTTTAACACTCCATAACTTACACTATAAACATATTCCATGATATATTCAATATCTTGTAAATCGGAAGTTTAATCCAGCGTAAACTATTTAAACTCAAATAAAATTGTTAGCTTAACTATTATAATGTTAAAGTCTTTTGAAACTATGATTAGCCCAGTTGTCTAAACTGGGCTAATCATAGTTTCAAAAGCTCTTTAAATTTTGAAAACCATTTGAAATTCAAATTTTTTCTTCAGAATGTCAACTTTTCTGAAGTTTTAATTGTTTAATACTTTTTAATTGGAATTAATATCGAAAAGAGAACAACATAAAGGACTATTCATTAAATTAAAGAAAATTGTCTTATATTTTTGGATGATAATGACTGCAAATTAAAATATAACTACGGACTGAAAGAAAAGTTAATCTGAAATTTTACTTCATATACTTTATGAACTTTTTATACTTCATACCCACATCAACCAAGCTAACTCGGTTGTTGAAATACATAAATAAAAAATAAGTTGGGTAAATCCAATGTTTCCTTGACCCAAGACATGTAATATTGCATCTAAAATAACCTGATTTGTTTCACTAAGAACACAAAAAACACAATATACTATTTCTTCCATTTATAGCTTCAATTTCAACCCTATTATTATATTGTTATTATTATTGTAAGAAGCTGTAGCTCAAAAGCGTAGAGTATAAATACAATGTACAATCATGTTAAAAATGCAATCGAAACAAAACCTGTACATAACTGTAAATACGCTAACTAGGGCTGACTAACGCACAAGCTAACGAGACGTTGTTTACATGAACGCTTCCGAGCTTATAGCAGTACAGCCTTTACTTGTTGTTTCGACTTAATGTTAATGTTGCCTTAATTTAGTCAGTTATCCGTTCATATATTTTGGTAAATGTTAAATTTGAAATAAAACTAGGTGTTTGGATGTATGAGATGTTTTGCAAAAGCCTTAGTGTTTTGTAGATGTTTTTGTCAGTGTTAGTGGCAAAGGTGTTTTCAGACATTTAGAATAAAGATGTTATATTATTGTGGTAAATTTGCTGAATTATGTGAAATATATGTTTGTGTAGTAGATTTTTGGTGGTTGATAAAAAAAGAATACAGTATTTACAAATTAGTTAGCTTGTGTACAAACAAAGCTTTTTTGTGATTTTCAATCCAAAAATATGTTGCGAAATCGGAGCAGGTCATAACAAAATTTACCAATTAAAACATAGGCTACATTTAATGGCCCATTAAATAATGACATGTCGAACTAAATACCTTTAGACATAAGTATATGTATCCTTAATTTGTTATTATAAAGTACTTTTTGTGCCCGAAATTCCTATTATATTTTGTAAAGACTTAAATGGTTTTCATACCATTTCGTGAAGATTAATTTTGAGTTTAGCAATAAGTTGTTACTTCTGAAATTAAAAATAGATGTTCCCAAGGATACACTACAATCTACTCTTTGTATATTAATTTGCAAACATTATGAGTAAATTAATATTAAAAAATTTCTATTAGCGTACAATCCTTTTTCTTTGGTAATATATACAAATTTAACATCCTTAATGTTCACCATTTCCTAAATGATTACTATAATAGAGAAACTATGTAATCTTTATCCAAAATGGTGTGAATTAATACTAACATAGTTTTTGGACTTTGGTTATGATAAATTTAGGACCTTTGGTAAAAAGGAGTCCAATGTTTTTACTCGTGAAACATTTTTTGTTTAGGGTTTAACCTAGTGTTTCATTATGTTTGTCGATTGTAACTACTTATTTTTCGCTACACAGAAGTAAAAAAAATATATATTTTATAATTTATTTTTACAATATTATTACACGTTATTGTCTGACATCACCTTTGCGGTAGTTTAAGAGGGCTATTTATGTCTAATGTTAAGATTTAAAGTATTTTCAATTTTACTATTTTTAAATTACTATTTTAGAAATTCCTTCACATTAAATTCCTATAAAGAATTCCTCTGGATAAGTAGATAGTAAAGAAAAATATTGTTTAACAAAAATATGAGGTGAGTTAAAAATAATAAATATTTAATATACAATTTATTTAAGTGAAGAAATACAGTTTAAATCCAAGGATCTTTAAACACCTTAAAAAAGTATGATGGCGAGAATTTTAAAATACATAATTATACTTTGTTCACAATATTTACGAATTTTGAGGGGACGTTCCCCCACCACTTTTTTATATTTAATGTATGTTGCTTAATCAGCTGTTGAGCTATTATTTTAAGGGTCAAGTGGGGGGGGGGGATAGATTTCTCCCCCTGAAACCACCTAAATATTGTGAACGAAGTATAGTTCAATAAGTGAAGCATTACTAATTCATGGTGCTTTAAAGAATATTAGCGAATCATAAAACTGTTTAAGAATTCTGAAGTTATATGTTTTAGACTACTTTTATTTTGTAATATTTGTTAACTAAGTGCAATTTTGAAAGAGTGTAATCCAACTGTGATGGCATTTAAGCTTATTATTTTGTTGTTGAGTTTAATTGAAGAAAATATAACTTTAGTTTCATCTGTTACTATGAATTTCTTATTTCTTAATTTTACCTGTGATTTTGAAAGCACTACGAGGAAGTGATGAAAAAAGGCCAATATTAGTCAATGCCAATAGTTTAGACAATGCTTAGGTGATAGCTTTGACTATTATAGATAAAGCATACTCTCTCAGTAAATTTCTCATCCTTATGGAACAGCTGAAGCCAATTTTATTGTTAGTTCCGTATGACGCACTGTAACTTAAAACCTCATTTAACAAAATAACACGATCTACTCATAAACAATAACTCGCTGGTTATATAACCAAACAATAAATCTCAAATCATGAAATTAACCGTAAAATAAGAGAAACAAAATTTTTTCGTCACTAGCGATCAGTGTCACCGCTACATGAACTTTTACAAAATTTACAATGGGATGAGAAGTCGACTTGTGTTGGTTAGTCTATGGTTGAAGTTACACACCGAAAGATTGCCCTGATATATACTGATTTCTGTAAAACACACAAACATTTCACCAAACCAAATTATTGGGGGATTATTGTAAGCTATACAATCTTTTATGGCGCTCCGTGACTGACTCGTTCAAAATTTTGTTTAAATAAAAAATGTCGACAGCTATTTCAAATAGATGGGATGTGTACTTCAGTATCTAAAAGTCAATGGTGATACTATCTTATAGTGAAAACAAGAAAAATCATGGTACCTGATGCCATTGAACTGATGTTTTGTGACCACTACTTGTAGTTAACATATTTTTGTTACGAGCCTCAATTATCCGCTGCTAAAAGTTTTGAGGATATCACTTTGGAGTACTAAGGACTGAGATAGTTGGAACATGAGTTAATTTATTGGTTGAATTTTCTACTCCTTAATATGTCAGAGACTCTGATGACACTGTCATACCTGTAGCGAACAGAACACAAAATAATTCATTGCCGCTCTAGAGCGGAAAATTATCATTCCAGCTAGCCAACTGATTTCACAGTTGTCGTTTTTACACCGACCACAACCACGGATCCAATATGTCGGTTAAGAACCGGTAAGCATGCTTAAAAAAGCAAACATAACCTAAATTACATTTTAGACATACAACTAAACAGAATCTGAGTGTTATTATAAGTTAATTATGGTGGTAGGAAAAATCTTATGTGTGTTACGAGCACAAACAGTCAATGCCATTCTCAAAATGTATAGTCACACTCAGCTATGTTTTTGGAGTGGCAATGTACTTTGTGTTATTAATACACAAATAGCTATTTTGCTATGTATTTCAGAATTACAAGGGTTGTATGTAGATTAAGGTCCCCAGCAATAAATATCCTTTTACAAAGGGCCTGATTCAACTCTGAAGCTGCTTAGACATTGGAGTTTAAAACACGAAGTTTACAAAAATCTAAGAGTTATAGTTTAGTCAAAATTGTTTCAACAGTTCATATGGCTCATATGGGTTGTTCATATGGATGTTAGCATGGTATCAGTGTACATAACAAAAGTTTTGTTTTACACTTTACATTAATCAGAGTACAATTCTGTGATTTTATCATTAGAAAAGACAAGGCATTTAAAAGATCAACTAAAAAAATGTGTTATTAAATCAGGACCTCAACATTATTGCATGGTTAAATAGCCCAATATTTCGAATGCATTAGGGCTTGAGTAAAATCTTCAGAAAATAAACTTTGTGACCATCGATAGTACTGTATTTTCACACTGAACCTTCATATGTAGAAACAAGGAAGCAAGAATAACCCACAAATATTGTAAACTCATATATTATTTTAATATTTATATGTATAAATGCAAGTATATAAATAAGTACATAAATTAGTAACTCCATTCAGAGCTCAGGCATTTAAATAAGGCCTAATTGTTCTGTACGAATTAATCAAAGCTGTGACATTTAGTGGTGATAAATTGCAACTTCTACTATTTAACAAAACACAATAATCGTTCATAAAATTATAATTTTTAAAAGTCAGTGATTTGTAAATGTACAATCTAAACTATACATGTAAGAGGTAATAAAATATAATTTTTGGAAAATATTCACATAGTTGTATTTAAATAAATAAATATATAACAAAGCTATATTAACTGTGATTATATTTTAATAAAATGTTTAATGTAAAGGATTTGATAGTTTTATCACAATTAAAACAATATAAATTCTAGTTAAATATCTCATTGTTAAAACATGATTAGCTATTTAAAAAATCAACTGCTGACAAAAAAAGTTAATTTGTATTGATTACTTATAAACATTATAGATTATTGGCACAATTTTCCAAATAAATTTTAAAATATGATTTAGTACAAATCAATAAAATAGACATGGGGAATATTCTAAACCAGCATTTCCCTAAAAAAAATTTAAATATTAACAACTTTGAAAGATGAGTTAAACTAAAATGTGATACTAGAATCAATGATGCAAAAAAAACAATGCTCGCTTCAGTAAATTTATGAAGAGTTAAAGAAAAAAAAACCTGAAAATAATACTTACAAAAATAAATTAGAAACAGTTTGTGATAACAAGAATAGTATTTATATAAAAGGAAATCATTTTGTGATGTTAAAAAACATTATCAATACAGTTGTTTATAATTAATCTTAGAATATCACAAATTACTTTTTAAGTAGTCGAAAACCACTAAAACAATAATTACGTATAATGATAACACCATTAAAATTTACAACTGAACTTCAACAAATTATTCTGACTCGTTATGATTATCTCCTACAATAATCTTTAATCAAAGATTATCCTGATGAAGGTTAACTTGAAATAAAGTTTTAAACATAATTTAATCCAGCCATTAAAAAAAATCATACAAAAATATCGCTTTTAGTGTTAGATTTTGTATAAACTTGCGTGAAGTAATTATTTTCCAACCGTTATAATGTAAAATGGCACATTGATATTTTAACAAAAGTTAATATCAAACTACAATAAATTAAATGAGTGTTAATTTTATTTAAATACTAACCACCAAAACTGGTAGGTGAAAATTTGTGTACAAAATTATTTAATTTACAACACCTTAAACCAATGGTTTAAAAGTTGCTAAAATCCTAAATGAGTGGGATGAAGGATATTTGTGATGTATTTGATAAATAAACTCCCTCAGGAAGTCAGCCATACGATAACATAAAAACTAGAAACTAAAAAAAATCTTCCACACCAAAATCTGTGTATGTTTCAAACATTCAATTATTAATAATACCAGGAATGGATAAAAAATTACTCACCCAAGAAAAAAGTCCCAGGTTGTTTAAACCACACATAATGTCTCTACTGAACCAACTTCTTCTTCTTTTTACTAATTGTGTTGTGAGCTTTTTGTGCGCTTTCAACTACTTGAAACTCTTTTGTTAGGTGAGTTAATTGGGTATCCATTCCTTCTTCATTTACATATTCCTAAGACGAGTGCTTTGCCAAAAAACTCACTTATGAAAAATTGATGGTTTATTTATAAAAGTTGATGAACAATAATGAAAATTATAAAACTGGTCTTACCAACATTTTTTGTATAAAATAAATAGCCATAATTTTTCCAACCATTTTTAAATTTATGAGGCTAACAATAAACCACTTAAATTATTACGTAGACTGTTAAATCAACAGGATTGAGCGAGGTTTTTTGAATTAAATTATTTTAAATTATAGTCTGACAATGCTGAGAAATACAGTCTCAATATTACTTACACTCTACAGCTATAGCATTTAATTTTAAACAGCTGTTGCTAAGGAATATTCATCTTTAAAACAATTAATACCAGTCAGCTGATGTTTGTGATCCTCTAACATTGTCAGACAATAATGGAAAACTTTAATTTTCAAATCATAAAAGACTAAACATTTGACATAGTATAAATATAATGAGTTGAAATTGACAAAGGACAGGGTAGTTTTTCATTTTACTTAATTTAGTACCTACGCCAAAAATGTATCAAATTAAAATTTTAGCTAAGTAAATTATGCTAGCTGTAAATATGTTTAGAATCATATTGATCAATTGAAATACATCATTTTAAGCTGCGGGATTATAATTAAAATACAGTTGCCATCTTCATGTTTTTTTAACATAGAAAAATTCAGAAGTTTGTTTAACTCCTGTATATATATTCTTTTGTGATGCATAACCATAAAATAAAAAAATTTCCCAACGCTTTAATTAGTAAAATGAAATGTGTCGCTAATAAACAAAAATAAAATCCTGCCCCTCTGTCAAATTCAAATCAGCAACGTTAAAAATAGTAAACAATTGTTTCCTATAAAACATTGGTGATTTGATGAACAAAAAGTAACCTAAAATGATTCCTCGCCCACTTCTGACAGTATTTGAATTGTAAAAAATACACTATAGAAAATTTGAGCAGAAACATAAACTAACCTATTGAACTGAATCGATGCTGCACACGGCACTCGAATAAACCTTTCTCGTAAAATAATTCAGGTACGGATCACAAACTATTCCCCTCCTACCTGGTGAGTCTGCGACTTAGCCTATGGTATAAAATATTAAATAAAACATTAACATAAATACATGAGTAATTAGTTTAATTAAAGCATCATCAAAACATGTTTGAAGCAACAATGAAACGCACATGTTGAACATTATGAGATAAATTAGGTAATATTTAATATTTAGCTGATATTTTTCTCAAATTATTATTTGTAGTGCTTGGAATACCACAAAGTTGCCATTCTTGTGAATACTGTGGTTAAAAATTTCCAAAATTTATTACACAATTTTTGTCTGTTTTAGCCAAGATTGAGGTAGATATTTATGCAAAATTTGAAAAATTAACAAAATTATATTTTAATAAAGATAATATGTTAGATCCATAAATATCAAGTATTTTTATGCACGTTTAATAGTCTGATCAAGGGTAAAACCTTTTTACTTGAAAAAATACAATAATTACTCAAGTTGAACTTCTAATGAAGTCGAAAACATCCAACAAAAATTACATATTTTATTGTTACTTCAACACATAATAAAAACTTTATTTAATACCTTAAACATTAAAAAGTGATAAATATACAACCAACCAAGACGACTAAGCACATATAAACTTTGTCCAACTACGACTAAATTCATCAAATGCTGGGTTCACTTTGACTCGACGAATCGATAAAAAAATGTTAAAATTCTCGAACTCATAACATAAGTATATTAGTGATGAATTAAAATATGCACAAGACTAAAAGTTTGCTGTGATGTGATTAAAACACTGTGAGATCTACGGCGAAATCCAACGGTAAACAATAAACGTAAACACACTTTCAAACGAAATAAAAAAACAGAAACCGAATTGTAAAAAATTCTGGAAACCTGGATAGCTAACAGATTTGTAAAGTTATACAACTAAAACCTTTGAATGGGCATGGCGTGAATTTTCATTAAAAATCCAATGTAGCTTCATTATGAAGCGATCAACACCAGTAACACTCGATCCACTGAAACTGCGGAGTTTTGTAGGCATTTCACCGATTTAAATTTTTTTTCATCTCGGGCTAAATTAAAACCCTTTCTTACTTGAGGTTTAGGAAATGAACAAAAATTCCAAATGTTGATAGGTAAATAAAAATTAGTGCTATGATTCAACTAGGTTTTTAGGTTAGCGGTAAGTGAAAATTACACACTAATAGGGAAGTGCCTACAAGACTTTAGCTACCGACTTTCACACTTTTCAATAGCGCACGAAACCGCTTCTTCCACCGTCTGGAAGATGGGTATATTGTCTCTACGAGCCAAGTCCTTCAGGTAGATCCTGCCTCGGTTGTAGTCGTTGACTGCTTGCTTGGATAACTGGAACATCGTTACATAGTTAGTGTTTAGTTCGATAAGATGTTCAACAAAGACACTATACTCTGTTCACAAAATATAGGTGGTTTACAGGAAGATATCTATCCCACTTGAACCTACCTTTAAAATAATAGCTCAACAGCTGAGGTTTGCCAAAACATTGATCAGCTGTGCCATATATAATTAGAAAAACAAGTAGTGGGGGAACTTCCCTCTCAAATCGCCTAAATTTTGTGAATAGACTATAGTGACATTTTATTTATTGTAAGAAAGGGGATTAACCCTGTACCCACAGTGCTCATCTATGCAGACACTCTGTTCACATTACACTTAGTCGACCAGTTGGTGTGAACAGAGTTGAACAGTAACATGAGCATTAATTATGTAATTCTTTTCCCAGCTGACAGGAGCTGGGCTATGACCGGTAGACAGGAGCTGGGCTATGACCGGTAGGGCTGGCAAATCCAGCAAATCCATCCCAAATCAGATCAATATCCAAACTCATTCAACACTTTACTCCCAAAGAATGAAGCTACAATAGGTTATTAAAAGATAACATAGCCATATGGTTTAAATTAATCTTTTAATTTTATGAAGACATTTTATAGAGACAACTGAACATACCTGTTCACCGAGTATGACTGTTTCGTCTTCCAACTGCTGAATACAAAGAACAACGTTGCAGCCAAGACCAATGTAGTATCCAGCCTGAAACAAGCCGATTATGTTAAACACAATACGGTATTAAAATAATTAATGAAACACAAAAAAACCTGGAAGGTAGTGTTTTTTTGCAGTGTACTTTGACTAATGATCACATGTTGTTTCTGCAAATACATCATTGATGAGCTGGCAAAAATACTAGACATTTCAAATGAACTACTAAACGTTGGCTGGTATTTTCACCACTTTAACAATGCAGTCACTTAACGAGCTCCTATATTCTACAGTAAACTATCTTTAGCCAGGATCTTTCAAAAATCAGGGACACAAGAGCCCAGTTACTTAAACAAGCGAGAATATGTACAAGCAAATCTACAAATACAAATATTTTTGTTTGTGTTATAAATACAGAAAGTGAATAGCAAAGATCAGAATGATCTATCAATAAGGAATTGTTCTTGGCTTTTGCCTGTAATCTTACCATAGTCATGATGTGAAGACTTCTTGACTGACAGGTGATAACGAACAGCAGGACGAAGCAGTTGTCTACGACCGACAAGTTATGAGGTCCTTCAGCTGAGTCCTCCATCAGTTGATATGTAAGGTTGTGTCGTCTGCAGACAGGAATGAACACATAAGCGACAAGACAAACTGTGCACTATATTTTACAACAGTCCTATATGAACAATTCAAGTTGGTTATACTTTTGGAATAATCAATGATCAACCATTATGCTTTACTATATTTACTATATTCTATACTATATTAATTTTTGCCTATTTCCATGACTTTCAATGACCAGAATTTTTTCCATGACTTTCCACAATGTGGACACCCTGTGGGTACTCAAATTTCAGACCCGACCAAGTCAAAAAGTCTGGCGCACAGACCCCTATGAATAACACAAAAATACTCACACGAGTGCAGAAACAGCTGTGTGTTGTGCCCATGAGTAGTCTGTCAAGTCTCCGGCCAGCAGGACATCACGCAGACTAGTGTTGTCTACAGACAGACTACGCAGAGGTCTGCTACATAGCGACCACTCTGTAACGTTCACGATTGATCTAGTTATGTTTACGGAAAGTAAATAAAAGAAACGTCTTATAACACTTAAAACATATATTTACGCTTATACTGTTACTCACAAGACGGTAAATAAATATACAAAAAAGATGGTAAGTGGTGATCGATTTCGATTGGACACTCCAATCATCATCAGACCCAATAGGCGAATGACAAGAATCTTAATGGCGTCCCTACTTATACCCTATTGGCTACCGGAAGCACCGGCCAGTACATTTTTATAAGTACAACTGGAGTCAAAATGTATTTGTTCATTAATCATCTTATTTCTATTTTTACATTTTTCCTTATAAATATACAATTCTTCCCAAGCATTCATTGTACTTATAAAAATGTACTGGCCGGTGCTTCCGGTAGCCAATAGGGTATAAGTAGGGACGCCATTAAGATTCTTGTCATTCGCCTATTGGGTCTGATGATGATTGGAGTGTCCAATCGAAATCGATCACCACTTACCATCTTTTTTGTATATTTACCGTCTTGTGAGTAACAGTATAAGCGTAAATATATGTTTTAAGTGTTATAAGACGTTTCTTTTATTTACTTTCCATAAATTTAATAACATGTACAATGCTGATCAAGAAGTTATCTAGTTATGTTGTCAAAACACAAAATGACAGAATAGTAGAACTACAGTAACAATTGGACTACAATTCAACCTCTTTCATTGGAAGTGAGTTCTTTAAAAAATTAAAAATTTTAAAAAGAAAATTTAATGCGGATTTTAAAATTGGCAGCACCTTTTATTGTAGAAATTGTGTCTTATTTATTTAATCAGTGTATTGTTAATGGTATGTTTCCACAGTGTTTAAAGTTGGCCAAAGTTGTGCCCTTATTTAAGAAGGGAGATAAATCAGAATTATCCAACTATCGACCTATATCTATAATTCCTGTTGTTGGTAAGGTATTTGAGGTTTTATTAAATAAAAGAATTGTAGATTATTTAGAAGGAAATCACTGTTATTCTGTCAATCAATATGGTTTCAGGCCTAAACGTAGTACATCCAATGCTGTTATTAGTTTTATGAGGAATTGTATGTATGGTTTGGATTCAAAAAACAAGGTGTCTGGTCATTTCTATGATATGTCGAAAGCGTTCGACACAATCTCTCATAACGTGTTATTAGATAAGTTATCCTTTTATGGCTTTGATTCATCCTCTTTGGCTTTAATTACTAGTTACCTTTCTGATAGATTACAGTCTGTGTATTTCAATGATTCTTTTTCTGTGTATTTGCCTGTTAAGACAGGAGTTCCGCAGGGATCAATTTTAGGCCCTACACTATTTGTCGTATATGTTAATGATCTGCCTTGTTCTGTTGTCAATTGTAATGTAAGTGCCTATATGTATGCTGATGACTTGGCTCTGCAAATAAGTTCTAGTGATGCTATCTTAGCGCAACAGTCTTATGCTGAGGCCAATTCCATAATAATGGATTGGACTGCTGCCAATTCTTTGTGCCTGAATGAGAATAAAACTCAGAACCTGGAATTTAGTTATAAATGTACTAATTATAATGTAGTAAAGTTTTTAGGATTAAGTGTTCAATCAAACGTCAAATGGAACTCCCACATTGATCTAGCTTGTATTAAAGTGGCAAGGGGTGTTTTTATGTTACGAAGACTTAAATATTTTGTTAGTGTAGAAGTTTTAAAGGCTGTGTACTTTGCTCATATTCATAGTCATCTTAAATATTGTATTATTGTTTGGGGTCACTCTAGTAATTTAAAAATCTCCTAATCTTACAGAAAAGAGCAGTTAGAGTGATGCTTAATGTTAGATCTAGGACTCATTGTCAGCCTTTGTTTAGGGAGCATAAAATATTAACTGTTGTGTCTTTGTATATATTGGATTGTTTAATGTATATCAGAAATAACTTGGATGATTTCCCTACAAATGAATCTGTACATTACCACAACACCAGGCAGCACTCTTTTCTCAGAATAAACCAGTGTAATTTTAAGTCTACAATTGTAAGTTTTTGTGAGTTTGGTAAAAAAGCTTTTAACTTGTTGCCGAGTAATATCAAATGTCTGAATTCTAAGTCTTTCAAGAACACCATAGTATCAATGTTATGTAGTTTAGCTGTATACAATGTTGATGAATTTTTAGATCATCTAAGTACCTTAAAATAGTTTTTAAACTTTTACCTTTGACGTTGCTATACAATGTATTATTTGTTTTGGCAATAAATGATTTGATTTGATTTGATTTTTGATTTGATTTTCATTCAGGAAATGTTAAACAGGTACTTGCCAGCATGACAAAGTCTGGCAACAGTATCGGCTTATGGAGGTATGCGAGCAGCTCAATTTCGGATTCGTGTGAGTCTAGCCTAAGAGCTAAAGTAACCGAGCATCAAATCAGAAATTGAGGTGAGCCTTTATTCTCACAATATCATTGTAATTGCAGTAAAAGCCTGCAAAGATTGTGCAATGGAAAGTTCAAAAAGAGACGATCATTATGTTTCCGCAATCGCAGGAGGTATTCACAAATTTGTTTCTGTTGTGGGAGACGATGATGATGCCTCAAAAGACGTGAGTGACGTTAACGGTTTTGCCGCAGTTACGGGAGAATATGGTTGTTTACAACCATGGTGAACCTAACAGCTGTGTTGTAAATTGAATCCACGTTAGGAACTGTAACCAGATGTTTTTGTTTTATTATTGTTGCTTCGGAGCAGAAGCTTTGTTATGTTTTTTATAGCTTCTGATACGAATCTCAAGAGCTTTGTAGTTTGATTGAAGAAAATTACACTACAAACTTTAGGTATATTGCTAAATTAAAAGGTTAAAATTCAAGCTTTACATAAACACGTGCTTAGTGCTTTTTAAATATACACTGCATGCTTATGCTTAATACTTCCGTGTACTTTTAAAATAGAAAATGAGATTTCTGTTTCAGTGCTTTATTGTTAACAAAATACAGAACACGGAAGCAAATAATAAGAAAAAAATAACTGTCAACATCTGAGTTAGTAAGGCAAATGGTTACCTATACACCTCATGAGCGGATTAGTAAAGAACGAGCAAAAGTTGTTGTTCTCACTTTCAGCTGATCCGTTATTGTTGTTGTTGTTATTGTGGCTGTCCCCTGCCTTCAGTTCAGCGATGATCGCACAGAAATCCTCAAAGTTCACCTGGATCGGCTGATCTTTGCAATCTAAACAGAATTAACAAAACTTTTGTTGAATTTATGATTGACTTAATGAATAAATTAGAGTTGGTCAAGTCCGATCAATTTTGAATTTTTCTGGTTAAAAAGTTTTCTGATCGTTGGGTGGAAATTTTTTGCCAGGATTATTTTGTAACGTTTACAAATCACTCCTGACGTCTGCCTATCGCTTCAACTGGAGATTTTTAAATATTTAAAGCCGTCAAATCAGACCACTAGAGTGTATTAGATGACTATCTGTTCATCAAATTTTATTTTTGACACCGCTATGAAGTTAATGGAGTTAATGAAGTTAATGGACAAGGAAATAAGGTAAGAACCTGGAGCGATAGAATGTTAAAAGACTCTTTTCAACATAAGATCTGAGGTAAGAAATTGAGCGAGAGTCGTAAAGATATTTAGCCTGTTTCATTAATTCAATTTTTTTACACTGTGCTATTCTTAAAAGTTGCATTCACATGAAGCCAGTTGATGAGCAGGTTGTCTGCCTCAGGTAATTTTAAATACACAATAGGCAGGTAATCTGCTTGCCTAGTGGCCTCGTGTAAAAACGGCTTAAGCTTACTAATTCACAAAACAAAATACTGTGTAAATTATTTACAAATGAATTTTTCCTCCCAGATAAATATTTGTTCACCTCAGAGATACATAACTACCTACTTTAGCTCCAAACGAACGTACTGAAAGCTTAATATAAAATTAAACCAACCTGAAGGTCTAGAGACGAGCCCCTTGAGTTCTGAAACGGAGAGTTTTCTATTGGTCATCAGTTTGTAGGCCATACATACCTGTAAACACAAAAAAATCAGCCTATATTATAGCAGAGCTAATTAAAACTCTATTACGGATTAAGGTTTAAAAAAGTTAACTTGATTGATGGTAATCAACATGATAAAAAAATATACTTTAAAAAACGACAAATTGTACAACTAAAACAAGTATTAATTATGATTTATCATGCACAAAATAAGCAATTAAGTCAGACGAACTTACATCAGCCAAACTAATGTATCCTCTTCCGGCAGTATCTCTGTTGTTGAAAGCTTCTTTCAGCTTTCTAGAAAAAAATTACAGTGAAACTCTCTTATGAATTAGGTAGTCTGTTACGGTTGTCAGTAAATTAAGGTCTTCCATTGATTTATCGTCGCAACCAAGCAAGCTAGTTGAAAAAGTAGACCAATATTTTGTTCCTTAGTTCATACACCACTATACAAAAGTTGGTTGCCACCCCTATGGTACAATCTAGTCTCAACGATACCATAATAAAAATTCAGTAAAACAGGCTTTCAATATTTCCATGAACTTATATAACCAATGTACATCTAAAATGTTTTCCCAACAGCAAATACCCATCGTTATACAGGGTGTCCTGTAAGTAAATAGCAACTAGTCTGTTGGTGAAAATATAGAACAGATGGAGGTAAGATAGCCTATTTAGCCACAATGTCAAGCTAGGCTAGAGAACAGCTGATAATAAAACAACCCTACTGCTTGATTAACAATGTATATCAATTATTTAAGATGGGGACGCCACTATGTGCGTATATTAACCCAAATATGAGTGAAGGATGAATGTAGGATGAAAGGTACGATCTTGTAGTTTTGTTAGTGACTAATGCCGACATGTTCCTTCGACACAGCTGTTAATAGCCCATACAGCCAATGGCAACTAAGGGACCTACAGTTTATACTGGATTCCGAACCACATTTTTCCTTGTAATTAACAAATTGGTCTAATTATCGGGATAGTACAGCGGATAGTCGTAGTACTCACTAGTGCGGACGTTAATCCTCACCATTGAGCATCACATCCATAGTGCATGCTTATAAATATCCACAATTCGTGACCTCCTAGTAGCTGGATTACAGGACGACGCCACCATCCCAATCGGTACTTACAACAGTTTCTCCGCCATGTGGACATGTCCGTTGGTGAGAGGCCTTTGTAGCTCAGCTACAAGCTCCTGCATGTTGATGTTGTCCCGCAATATCTGCAATGTGGACAAAAGATATATTCAGTTTCGAATTACAGAAACATGTTTTAATATACTAAAATGAAACTACCTTTACCACTACTGTAATGTACCTTCCTTGTAGTGCACTTAAAAGATTTTGTCTTTTTACTCAAAACTGATCAAATATTTACTTAATGGTTTCTTTTAGTAAAACGAAGCTCTCCATTAAATCCATTTTCATTGTCTTTGACTATTGATACAACTAGACATTCCATCTCTATATTAAAGTTGTCGCCAGTTTTTTAATAAAATTTGTCGTAGTTTATGTGAGCCACTGATAGATTGCACTTATCTAAATTACTGATTTATGGTGTATAAACGGTTTTTCAACTTGAGAATAACCCAGAAGGTAGAAGACCCCTTGGAAGACCGAAACTTAAATGGTTCGACCAAGTGGAGAAAGACCTGAGGAAACTAGGGAGAAGGAAGGAAGATGCAAGAAGCAGAGACCTATGGAGGCAGTGTGTTGGGGAGGCCAAGTACCATCTAGGGTACCAGTGGCCACAGCAGTAAGTAAGTAAATGGTTTTTACCAATTAAAACTGATGGAACGATTTATTTATAACAAATTGGCTACATCTGGTCCATATAGATGGGATGTGTAGTCTACTTTAGAATACCATAGTCAATGCTATTATGTAGCTCTGTACACATCCACACTCACACACACAGACACCACTTCGAAAACCATCCTTTGGGTTCAGGAGTACAAAAAACAGATATATTTCCACCCAAAACTCAAACATGTTTACAAAAACAATACTTTCTCATACACCATGTATAGGGGGACAAAGTAAAAATTATTGAAGGAAAATTTAAAGGTATGTCTGGTAAACAAAAACTTGAGTTTTACATACCTTTGCAGTGCACTTGACGGCCAATGGGATATTGTCCAACACAGGGATATGTTGTCTTTCTACTAGACTTCTCAGCATCAATAGTGAACCGCTGAGCACCTTCCATTCCCTGAGTAGATAATGTAAATGAATCTCCAAACAAAAACTTACTATTTCCCCACAATCATTATATCAACTAGTTGCTTTATGCTTTGCAACAGAGTGAGGATACAGAAGAGAATAATATTGTTTAAATCTGTTAAAACAGTCCCACACCTGTAATTTATAGAGGAAAAACTAAATTGCACAACAGAGAAGTAAGGTGCTGAGAAAATATTCAACGTTACACTTAAGTGGTGTCTAGAACTAGTGCTGGTGTCTAGGGCAAAGTCCAAAACCACCCCCTCGCCTTTGTGTACTACAACGCTCATGGTGGATGAAGACCCTGGTGCTCTGTGTGATAGGAATTTCCACACAGCGCTTGGCATTACAGCTCTTCCTTGGTCCTCACAAGTATATTTCCGTCCCAACAAATCAGAGGTGAAAAGGAAAACGCATGATTGTCTCATATTTCCCCTGTACCTTACTTCTCTATGATTGTACTCATTGCTTATTATAAGATCCCTTTAGTTTATGTATTTGCTATCAAGTGTGTGGAAGAATCAAAAGTTTAACTCAGTAAAAAAGGTAAATAAGCAATTTTAAAGAAAGGACAGCCAACGCATATTTGTTAAATTTCGTTAAATACAACTCTTTAAGGTTTGTACCATTAGGGGAGGATTTATCAAACAAATGTTTTTGCAGGAAATTCCGCATCAAGACGTTTCATTTGGAAGACAGTTCGGCCATTTACAGTGTTCTCTAATGTTTGAACTCCTCATCAACGTTATATTCTGTATGATGGAACCTGTCTCCTGACCCACCATCTCCCCGGGTCTTAAACCATTAGCCAGTCTCCAGGAAGATGAAGAGTCAGGAGACAGGTTCCACCATACAAACTATATACATTGATACTTCTCTCCTAAACATTACCTATTGATAAATTTACTACACAGACTTACTGATGCGTGATCACTTCGCCAGCGATCGTCTGCCCTGGCTGGTAAGGCTTGATGACCAGCATCAGTCTCCGTCGCGCACCAGCAAAGGCCGCAGCCTCTATCATGCTGGACACATTGCGGGTTTGCGGCTCTATCACGTAGAACAACACACTTGCGTTCTGCTTGGCCGTGTGTTCCAACTCCACTAGCTCCACGCTCCACTCCTCCACTTGCTGATACAAAAGTGGAATTAGACGTTTAAACTCTGTGGATCATTAGACCTTTGCATTTTGTGGATTATTCATTGATTTAATTACAGTAGTATTCCACTATTTTGACGCGATTTAAAAAATCCACCTATTCCAAACTTAAGTTGAGATATTTAATATTTTGTATTTTCTAAAATGTTGCAGCAAAAGTCACCAAAGCTAGCAGTATTGCCAAAGTTAGAAGTACAGACGTGTTGTTGGCAATGTTAATAACGCAGAGAACTTTGAGGCTTCAGTTATTATTTCACAAACCTTAGCAAAACTACCAATGTTGCCGTAAACATAGTTGAAGGCAATAGAAGGGACAGGTAAAAAGAAGCAAAATGCCTGATTTTAGGTGAAAATTACAAGGAGTTGACAAACCCCGGCAACTTCCAAACAAGCTCTTGACTGTTTTACCTAAGCGGGCCTCCCCAATCAAGTTTTTTTGTGTTAATCTATGCCACTGGCAATTTTAAACTTTTTTAGGAAGGGAACGGTCCAAACCCTGGTCTTACGTCAACCTGTCGTTGGGAAGCATCAATAATTGATTGCCCAATGGCAAATAGCATATGGGTCTGGTAAAGATCTTGATTGGAATCGAACTGGCGACCTTCAGATTTGAAAGCGAGCACTATAACTACTCATTTGCCCAGACAACTAAACTCCTTCTGAGTTGCACCCCAGACCTGACTAAGGTGGGATTCGAAAACTCCTTCTCTTTAGGGCCAAAAATATAACGCTTTAAACCACTAGGTCATTCAGACTGAACAATATGCTAATATGACACTCCACTATATTTGACTATTTCCTTAACGTAATCATGTCAACTTACAGGGTTGTAATAGGTAATGCCCATACTGTTTAACAGAGGGATGGCCACATCATGTCTCCATGTCGTAGGGTTACACGAACCTCCTAGGAACACTTCATGCTTGGTGACACTGCTTTCTGTAACAGCAAACAATACAAATTAGAAATACGAGCTGTTGGCCCGTCCTACGTACGGGATCGAGTAGTCATTTAAAACTGAATATGATTCAGAACAGCTAGTACCACCTTCAGTAATTATATACCAGTAGCTATACACCACCTTCCACTGCATAGGCCAATACTGTCACTTACCGTACCTTATTTTACCACCTTGGCCACTGAAACCTCTAAAATGATCCTGGCCTCCCGTTCTCTTCTATCCCCTGCAATTTCTAAGGAAGATACCAGTCTGAAGATGTCTTTCATTACTTGGTCTTCCAAGTGGTCGTCTACCTTGAAGTACTCCTTGGAATACACTTTAAAAAGTTGAACAGTTGAAGTATCTTCTCTCCGCCATGCAAAGCCTGCCCAGCCCATCCGAGATCCGAGCTTTTTCGTCTACTTTTGGAATGTACTCCTTTATCAAGTTTCTGAATCATACAGTACTACTGGGATAGTTGTGATATGGTATGAATCGATTTTGGTTTCTACTGACACCCTGCAGCTTACTGGTCGGTTTTCTGGAGATCTACACCGGTTGACATTTTCATTACGAAAAAAATGTGTACTGTATGCAGTCATACTTATATTTAAACATCTGGAAAAAGATGTATTAACACGTAAACCACTTATATCTTAAAGGATTAAGCACTTATACTTAGACGGATTGCATTTATGACAAAACTTGATTATACGTTTAAAATGTTTAGTTCAAAATTACACAATCTCCTGATAACATAGACCTTTTACGGTAGAAAATAAACTGCATTTTAAAGTAAAATAGTGCGTAGGCAAACTCTGACGATCAATATTTTTGTATACAAACAACTTGTAACATAAACATTTCAATGACAGTTAGAAACCAGCTGTTAAACTACCACTAAAACGACTTTAACTCGTCCGTCGGCTGCTAGACTTTTAGAAAATTAAAACTTAATTTCTAAAAAACTGAAACCCTAAACTTAAATTATGGCTTCGACATTCCCTAGTTCTCAAAATTATCTTTCTTTCAACACAAAAATCATAAAAATCCGTCAAGTGGTTGAATCAGAATCGTGAAATAAAAAAACCCTGTTTCGTTTTAATATATAGGATAACAAGATAGCATAACAACACAGTATAAAACAATACACACACACACACACATGATTGGACCACAAGACCATCTCTTCTTGTATTCTCTCTTTTTTAAATTAATTTACTTAGTACTATAAAATCCACTGGGCAAGTAAATGTTTCAATTATATAGCTTTATCAAAGTAACCAGAAGGAATTCTGAATGTTTAAACATAAAGTAAATCAGTGATTAGATAGTAAAATTCACTGTTATTTCGAATCCTTATAAGTATTGTTATTATGGAATAGATTGTGAATCCTACAGAAATAGTACATCACTAGGAGCGAAAGTGGTTCTTTTTGGTACGCAATCGTGCATCTTGCTTTGGAAATACTATTATATAAAAGACATTTTTGCTCTGTGTGGTGAACAACTATTTTAATGATACTGTGGAAATAGCCTTTTTATTGTAACAAAATTAGACCACATAATTTGAGGTTATATAAAGTTGTTATCAATGTTTACATTTCTGTTGTTTACAAATATAGCTTAAAATATCGTGTGATTAGCAGCGTAAACCAATGTGCCATAAACAAACTTTAATGTAAACAAACCGAAATATTTACCATATCTAAAGTTACCTGAAAACGATGATTTTGCAGACAATTTAGAGAACTAAAAACGGTTGTTTTCCGGACAATTTGATGAAAAATATTTTCAACTCAAACATCTCAACGGTGTATTACGTTTGTAATAATTGTAACGGATGTTATGTGCAATAAATAATTATTGTCATTTGTCATCTGCAAGTTTTTGTAGGGAGAATGTTTAGGAAGAAGTTTAAAGAAAATTGCGTGCAGTTTTCTTATTTGTCAGTTCTACAAAACATGTTCTAAATTTAAAAATAAAAAACTTAAAACGTACTAACTGATTTCACAATAATTCTGAAGTTTAATATTTTTAATATAGCATATGAAAAAGGAAAATAACAGCTGAATAAAAAATAACATGTAAAAATAATATTTGGTAATTGAACAAAATATTTATAATTTATTATAAGTTATTTATAATATTATTATTAATATTATTTATTTATAAGTTAATAATGTTGACTCTAATCAATGTATTTAGTAAAGACAAGCTAAAGATTTTCAGTAATCTAAATTGTTAAAATTTGTCACAGTAGAATCTTGATAACAAATCTAATACATGAGTATTATCAAACAAGAATTCTTATCAAGGTTTGCAATAACATGTAATGAAGGGTAATTTAAAAAAACATTTGAAAAGACACTTTTTTCCAAAGGTCACTTGTTATTGAGGTTCCACTGGTTCTTTTTTTGTGCAAATTTAGCTTAGAAGCTGATGAACACATAACATACAGATAATAATTTTAGATTAAAATAAATCATTCAATTGATATTATACTTATGATAAACATATTATTCAGCTTAACATATAAAAAAACCTATGACTACAAAATATTCAAATTAACTCTACATTCAATTGAGACCAAACAATCGTCAGTGACCTAATGAAATAGGAAAATGGGAATATTTTGATTAAATAACAATCAACAAAAAGTTTCCGGGCTCGGCCGGGATTTGAACCCGGGACCTCTCGCACCCTAAGCGAGAATCATACCCCTAGACCACCGAGCCACACGAGGAAACAAGGCCAACTTTCTATTTCACGGCAGCATTCTCTCACTAGCCTTGACTTGGTAAACATGTGCTTCCTCGTTCAATGTGTACAAATTGTAAAATCTCTTCCAAGGCAGACAATTTTGTAACAACTTAACAGTCTTAGTTCAAGTTCTATCACGTTCATTTTTGTATTTTGTAAGTATTTGCTTGAATTTTATTAGAAAAGCCTACTTCTAAACGATAACTTAAAATATTAAGTTTTATTTTAACACCATGTATTGCATTGCAAAATGGTGTTCTGTATAATATCAACAATCAACAAGCAAAGATTTTAGAGGTTAAATAAAAAGGTGTTTTGTAAATTGGATGTATGTAAATACTTTTTGACGACTTAAATGAAAAAATAAAATATTGCTTTTATTATGATCCAGTTCAAAAGAAAACTAATAGGCCTACTTATTAGGAACCTAAAATATTTCATAATTATCCAAGTTCTAAATAATAATAATATAACTCACTTGACATCTTTCTTGAGCGTCTCTTCTTATCTTTCCCATCTCTTTCTAGTTTTTGGGTTAAGTGACTTGACTTTGGAACCCTGAAAAGTAATTAAATTAAGTAAGTAAAGAAAATGTTAGTAATGAAAATCTTAATCTATAGTGAATTATTCCAGAAACCTTTCTTAATTGTATTGTTACACAACGGATAAAGACTAAACGTTTATTGAAGCTTCAATACTCAACGGGTAAAGACTAAAAGTTTTGAGTTTCAAATTAGCAGATAAAAAATATAAGCATAATTTTGATAAATATTTCATTAGTTTACATTAAATGTTAAAAAATCTTACCATCTTTGAAGCAAAGATTATCTGCTGGATTAGTAGAGTATACAAAACTTCAAACTTATTTTTAAAATATGGAGTATTCGGCACAAAACCAGAAACAGTTATGAATAATACTAAAATGAAAGAACAAGCTGTCTATCTCTTTTTAAATTTAAACTGTTGGCAAACAATTATTTATATGAATACTAAAAATATGTGCAAACTTACTTGATAAATTAATAATAACTTCTGCTTTTGATATAGATAAAAATTGTGTGACTAAATGTTTCATAATTAAATATTGAGTTTAAAATTGGCATAAGCCTCACTACAGTATTTATAATTTATCTATCTTTAATCATAACTTTATTCCTTTTCTGACATGATAATTGTCAATCAATATTTTATCATCATAATTCTGTCCATAAACAAAATTGTATTGTTGTTAAAATTATACTCTACGTAGTTGCCGGAACATCTAAAACATCTTGAAAAAAAATCACTATTTTAAGTTATCTAATTTATTTTAATAACCTTTAAAATCAGCTGATTATTATTTAACATTCTTAACAGCTGACTTAATCTTATTTTCTAACAATGGGTAAACAAGCTGACAAAGAGGAAACATAATGTAGATTAATAATTGTGTGTAACGAAATGACTGATAAGATAAAGAGCTAAGTGATGCACTCAAAATAGAGATGAGTTCATGGCTATTTCTGTCTCAGAGGTGTTTACTATAAGTAGCGGCTGTGTAGAGCCAAACTGCAAACTAATTGACACTGTCATGTTAAAATCAGCTGTTAATCTTTCATAATACTTTTTTAATTAGTTTGTTTAACTTGCTTATATTTAACATTGATATTTTGTTTAACCAGAAATGCGTACTTCAAATTTCAAAACATACTTGTTCTTTAATAAGCAAAAATTTAGATTTACAACAATGGTGGAGGATTTATTTGGACTATTCATTTCAACATAATAAAAACTATGTGATGCAAAACTAGAAAAGGAATCAAAGTTCACAGCGTCGACAAAATTACTAGTATTGCGATGCTAAACAAATAGTTTTATCCAATGCTCAATTTATAAAAAATGATGTGCCGGAACTGTAACTTATGTAATGTGGTTAATGACCTATTTTTGCCAACATTTTTAACTTTCCAAAGGAGAGGTTCCTTCTGTGGCGTTCCCCTGCAAATTAAGCACTGGTTTTATCAAACATTTGGAAATTTATGCAATTTGCAGATTTCCAATATTTCTTAACTCACTTTTTCTTACTCAAAAATAAATTAATATTTTCCAACTTTGTGTAGTCATGTTTCTTTTAAATGTTCTTATCATAAGTATTAGGTTGCCGATTTATGAATAAATAGAAGGATAGGAAACAAAGTTAAATTGTAATGCTTTGAACTTCAACTAATCAGCTGTTAAGACTTAATTAATTGTTAATGAGTGGTGCAATTAGTGGTTGGTACGATGAGTTGTATACCTCTCTTGGAGGTTAGTGATTGTTAGTAATTAAAAAACGGTCAGGTAAAGTAGTGTACACAACTCATGTAAATAGTCTTAACGACACTCGTAGATGTTTTTGAAGCACTCGCCAAGGCACCTTAAATTTCTACTCGTGTCATCAACACCATCTTTACGCGATCTTTACGTTGCGTTAACCACTATTTTGTGTTGTGATGATAAGTATTATTCATAACTTGTGCCAAATGCAGTTTTGCAACATTTGCTCTATTTTTACCCAAAAACGATCAGTTTTGACATGCTCTTCAGATTGGGTTGCACTATGTTTGGCTTTGCCCCACACATGAACCTTTGGCGCCCCCAAAAATCCCACTTTCAGCAACAAAAAAACCATGCATCAGTATTGTGACAGAATTATATATAACAGTAGAGTGCCAATTGCTTTTTGTGATTTCAACCCATTATCATAGTTACACCGCTTACCCATTAGGGGTATTGTGGACCTAATGGTGTAAGTATGTGCCAGTTTGCTGATACCGTTTATTACGTATGTGAATCGGTCATACATATCTAGTACACTCACCCTCTGTGGCAACATCTCTTCAATTCAGTAGCAAACAGACAGAACTCTCCAAAAGTGAGGTAGGAAGGTGTTGATCCGTCGGAACAGTCTTGTGCACACTGCAGCATCTCAGAAACTGTAACGTTAGTTAACTGTTGGTTACCGTTTTAAAGTGGGGGGATTCTTCAATATAGTTGTAAGGATTCTTGGTAAATACAATGATACCAATCCATTCTAGAGTACCTGGACTCCTTTTATGTGAAAATATACACCTTATTTTTTCCTGTTGTCCCAATTTTTCTTTGCAATAAGCTGCTTACTAGTTTAATTGAAAGAGCGACAATGTCAAAGCTTGCAACAAAAGTAGCCAACAGTGTATTGTAAAAACAATTTGGATGTAACGGAGGTAAGGAAGCTTATTTTGTAAATTAAAGTACGTTATAAACAAAGTCGACATGAAGGGTATCCCACAAAGAGGTTTAAGTTTGATTTTATCAACTTCAGTTCCAGTAAAACTGCACTTGAGGAGATTTGGTTATATTTTACATGGCTCAAGCAATATTGTTTAATAAAACAGCTGTTCAACAACAAGTGTTAAAACTGCAACACAGAAAATAAATAATTGAAGAAAGAAATTTAAGTTTTTTGTTACTGTACTACATTTTTGAGAAGCTGAAATTTTCACAAAATTTTTTCAAAACCTTCCCATTAAATTTGGTGAAGTTTCAAAACTGCCGACGCTTCTTAGGTGGGCAAGGAATAAAACCAAACATTCATAATCAAACATCCATAATACTGTTATTTCATAAAATATTGAAACTCTTTCATTCATAATTATTGGAAATTCCATACACTACTACAAATGTAGTACAATAAAATCTTTTTAATCAGTTTTGTTCATTTGACGAAGAGAAACTCTTAACCTCTTAACTAAGCTAGAGTACCAACTACAACTCTGCCAATAAAGAACAAAAGGACAGTGCACTTGCTCTAATTAAAACAATCTGCAGACCTTCAGACCAACAACAATCTCGGAACGGCCCCAATAAACTTTATCTGAGAGAAGTGCTTAACCTTACAACTACCATCAATCATCAGGCGAGGAAAAAAAACAAAACCATGAAATAGAAACAACGCAAAAACACAACAGAACAACACACAAATAAAGTTACACAAAACACAATAGTAACACAAAACTGGTGGAAGACTGAATGCCTTTAAAATGTTGGTATGTTTCATTTTGGCAGAGTAAAAAAATCACCATCGAACATCAACGATTGTACATCAACATCGGAACCAGACCGGTTATTAATAAAGGATTTTGGTTCACTGAACATATTCTTTTAAATTTTAACTTGCCACAGAAAATTCACTACTCAATACAATGAAACCATGCTAGTCATAAAAAAGAATTTGGTTCACTGAACTGCTTTTAAATTCAATTATATAGTACAACGGTTCTTCAAAAAAGTTTCATTAGCCCAATTAATACGATAAGAACTGGCTGACATTTAAATTTCTTTGTTTGAAGCCGTGTATTATTTTTGTACCAAAGGAAATATTTAAATGCCATGAGTACTTTTAGATGATCCTGATTCTGCTAGGCCAAACAATTATTTAGAATATAAGTGTTACATCACATTTTTTATCTGTGTCTTCCTTCGTGCACATGTGACTTTGAGGACTCTTCATAATCCCAAGCTTGGTATTTTACTTCAATTAAACTTTAGTTAACAGCTGATTCTCGGTGGCCTTGAAACTTCCTCGGCTCTGTATTGGATCATTATGGGAATGTGGGTTATTCCCACAAGTTTCAAAACCATTTTCATGATGGACGGCAACTGAATCCTATAAATTAACTATTAAACTTTTAAGTTACTTATTGTCATAACAATCCATTTTAGTTGATTATACAGCAGAACAACGGATCATTTTGACAAACAACAGGTAACTCGATCCTTTAATCAAACCCATTAGTCATCAAACCAAAACCACAGTCCCCTGAGAGAGATCCTGTTTAACCTTTAAAACACAAGTCAGAATTTTAAAAACTGGCAGACTACCGTTTAGATCCGATAACTAATTGTTGGTATGTAGCCTCAACATATTGGTTGTTGGCTACTGTCTCAGTCTCCGTCAGCTGCCAACCCAGCCTACAGCTGACATAGACAGAACCTACATGTGTTAACGCCCACACACAACAGGTGGTTCTTCTTGTCTTACTTCCGATGTGTTTTTACCATGGCGCTTGGCATTGAAACAAAAATAGGTGAAATTAATAAGAGGTACACAGTGTAGCCAGTTTTGATTCTAAATTTCTATTATCATAAGAAATAAAACTTTGCAAGAAAGCATGATAGTAAAACCAAAGCCATAGAAACGGACATACATTTGATAAGGTCAACAGTTTTAAATAGCTAGGGGTAATGATAATGAATCAAAATACTGATCAACTGGAGATATAAAGTCGAATAATTTCAGGAAACAAATGTTTCCACGCAATAAATTTCTTCCAATTCCCTGTCTCACAAAATAAAAGTCAATTATACAAAACAATAATATACCCGGTTCTATTATTTGAATCAAAACATTTGGAAAATAACTGACAAAGATGAAAAATCTATGGACCTATATGTGAACAAGAGGAGCAGAGAAGAAGACACAATAGGGGGATAAGGTAACTTAACAACAACACAGATGTAATTGGAGAAATTAATAGTGTTGAAGAATCAGAAAAGCAGGACATGTTGAAGAAGATATTAGGAAGGTTGAAAATAGTGTATTACGTTACTAGTCCTGAAAATAAGTGTTTACCGGACGAGTGTGGTCGGGATTACCATACGAGTCCGGTAAACACATTTTGGACGAGTTACGTACGATAGTTTACGCCATACTACTTAATGCCTACAAATCCTTATATATTTCCACCAACTAAAGGACTAAAAATCACTAGTCATAATCTCTAAGAGAGGTATGTTTTTGTTTATAACCAATCATTGTCACAGCAAATACAGTTTAATCAGCTGATTGGTGTCCGGTAAAACTCATTGCAGAACAGTATTACGCAATGAAACCCCATTTGAATAAGCTGGTGGCAAACAGCTGTTTTCTGAACTAAATCCTTGCGTGGGAAGTTCGTCAAAATAATGTAGTATGGCGTAAAAGTATTAAAGGGTAACCCTGATGGAAGACGAGCTCTAAAGAGGCAAGTGAAGGCAGATATGGAGAGAATTTGAGCAAAGGAGGGTGATGCAGAGGACCAGATTGAGATCAGCGATGATCTGTTGCAGCTAAATATTACTTCCGATAATCGTACTTTATTAGATAAAAAAAACTAAAACCAAAGCTGTCATACAATTTATAAAACTGCAAGATACATACTATGTCCAAAAACTTTAGAACATTTGCATTCCTAGTTATGGAACCCCAGGATTTAGTAATTTGTTGATAACGTCTACACTTACACTGTAAACATTAACAATACAGTAAACACAGAGAAGTAAGGTACAGAGCATACTCAATGGTACACTTAAGTGGTGTCTAGCTTGCGATGGTGTCTAGGGCAAATTCCAACACAGCCCTATCACCCTCATGTACTACAACGCTCACAGTAGAGGAAGACCCTGTGTCTTGTACAAAATAAATTTCCGTACAATGCTCACTGTTTGGGCTCTTCCTCGTCACTGGTATAATTCTGGCCTAACACACCAGAGCTGAAAGCACACGGTCCTTCCATACATGTATTTCCTCTGTACCTTACTTCTCTGTGGTCTATAAATTCTGCGTACAGAAACACTGGTTACCTTGCGCCTGCGTGGGGTATAACTGCATGTCCTGCAGTAGGGGCAGCACCTGATCAGCTGGCAAGTGTCTTGATACTGAACCAACCCGGGCATTCCAAACCCTGTACACCTCCCTGCAACCAACAACACACTGACAAAAACCTAAATACTTAATACAGATTTTCTCGGTTACATCCCCTTTTCCGTCCCCCTACTTAACCGACTTTTACTACTGAAATGTCAGTACAGTAAAAGCTTATGATCTAGCGGAGTGACAATGGTAACTAAAAATATAATTGCTTTTAGGGCTTTGCCCCCATTTGGTTTATATGTAGAGTTTACTTTCAAAGATGTAGTGATTTTTTACAACTTTTTTACAATGTTTAGACGTGAAATTTAATGTTAACAACAGATTTTTCAGTTGAATATTCAACCACAGTCAGATTGTTGACAAAAGACTAAACAGTTTATGTTTTTGATAAATGTTATCAATCTGTTTGATAGAGTTGCTGTGAATTTCCTTGCTGTTCAAAATCCACGTGATTTCAGGCGCAGGTTCTCCCTGAACTTTGACGTCAAACATGAACGGTTCACCTTCCTTGATGGCCAAGTTCTTCAGGTTCCTGCGATCGATCTTGGGAGCCAGTTTCCTCGATTTGGTGACCACAGACTTGCTAGGTCCGCTGGGATCGCCAGGTCCTGCCTCGTTAACGGCTCAGATGCGGAACTCGTACTCGACTCCCTCCTCAAGGTTGTCCGTTCGTCCCTTACACTCAGGTCCGTGAAGTTCACTGGCCTTGGTTCACTTAGGGTTGCCTTTCTCTCGCTTTTCAATCACATATCCTGTGATGGGAGCTCCTCCATCCTTGGACGGAGGAGCCCACTTGAGGTCCACGTGTCACTGTCCCAGTCCACGACATCTGGAGTTCCCGGAGCACCGGGCTCGTCAAATGGATTCTTTGCGATGATGGTGTGATCATTATCTAGGGGTTCAGATTCTCCTTCAGCGTTCACAGCCATCACACGGAACTTGTACTCCTGTCCTGGGACTCGATTCTCCACATCCATCTTGGGCTCCTTGGATCTGCCAGATGGCACCCAACAACCAGTTTCGGTGTCCATTTTCTCCACCTGATAGTATTCAATGGGCACACCCCAGTCATCTTCTGGAGGATTCCACTTGAGCGTACATCCTTCCTTGTGAACGTCAGAGATTTTCAAAGGACCTTCCGGCTTTCCAGGTTTGTCTAGCACAATGAACTCGATGGATGCCTCGTCTTTTCCAGAAGCATTCTCAGCCTTGATGGTGTAGGTACCTGTCTGTTTGTGTGTGATCAGCACGATGGACAGTTTTGTCTTGTAATCTTCAGAGTCAATGTTTAGTGAGAACCTGCGCCTGAAATCACGTGGATTTTGAACAGCAAGGAAATCCGCAGCAACTCCATCAAACAGATTGATAGCACACCAAACGCCACCAAGTTCTTCCGTAAGAACCCGGAGCGCAATGACAGTGGTATGTACAAGATACAAGCCATCAACAAGTACGGATCTGACGAAGTGGAAGTCACTGTTGTCTCCAAGCCCAGCAAGCCCGAGGGTCCACTAGAGCCCATCGAGAGCCATCTAGGAGGCTACCTAGTAGAGAAGTACGACCCTGACACAGGAGTATGGCTGCCTGTGGGACGCACCAAGGATCCGAAGATGGAAGTCACGGGTCCTGGACACGAGTACAAGTTCCGGGTTAAAGCCATAAACAAAGGAGAGTATGAACCTCTGGAGACCCTTGGATCTATCATTGCCAAGGATCCGTTCACTGTTCCCAGCGCTCCAGGAGCACCAGGACTGGAATCAGAACCACGTAGATCTCATTTGGAAAGAACCAATCTCTGATCGTGGTTCTGCAATCACTGGAGACATTATTGAAAAGAAAGACAAATACAGCACAATTCAGGAGAAAGCAATTGAGACAAACACAGGCACGTCACAGGCCGTCGTCAGTGGTCTCTTTGAAGGCAATGAATACCAGTTCCGTGTGATCGCAGTCAACAAGGCAGGTCAGAGCGAGCCTGGAAGCTTCCAGGAGTCAAATATATTGAAATATATTTGACAATAAACGTCACCTGTTTTAGGTAGGTAAGTCACTCTTTTAGTGTAGATGTAAAAGCACAATTTTAATCCATCCACTGTAAATTACTAGTTTTATTTACCTAATGACTATCTCAAACAAACATAATATTTGAAAGGTACAGGTATTGCATTGGGTAAGTTTTGAACCTTTAACATATGCAAAGAGCGCATGTGTCCCCTCGTTTTATTTAGACAATACATTTACTACAGTTTGTTTTAGCTTGGTAGGGCCTACTAGATACAACAATGGTCAAAGAAGTTGTGTACCCTCCAAATTACTGTGTTTGGTAAAAGTTTAGTAAGGCTATTGATGATAAAAAGAAGTGATTGATTGAATCCTTGTAGGCCTGAAGATGGTTAGAGATGAACCGAAACTAATTGCCACTAAAGCAACCAAGGATTACTTTATGCAGGTATTCAAACCATTTTTATGAAAAATAGTCATCTAGATTAAATTTTTTTCTTTTGTTCATGCATATGCCTAAAAGAAATAAATTGGACCAGACAGGAGAAGGAAAGGAAGAAAGCCTAGAGAGATCTGGAAGAATGGTGGAGGACATTGTTCATGTTCTGTAATTCTGTAGGTCTTCTGCAATAGCTTCCATCACACTCTTTTCTATGTTTTATTCATAAACTCTTTCATAGTCTTTTCTATTCCTTCACCTTCCTCTTTTCTAGGTATTCTTCTGACCTCCGCTATATATTTGTATACTGTACCAATCTAGTGCATGTCAGCAAATGGTATAATCCAGCCTCCTCAGTGTGATACAAATACCAGAGGTGATAAAATCTGTAGTGTATAGTTTAGAAGTTGTTTTCATCCGTGACAATAAACTTGAAAGATTTACTCTGTTTACTATTGATGCCGAAGAGTATACATTGGTTGTGTAGTCCAAAGTCAGAAACACTCCCACTGCAGCTAACCTACAGACTGAGAATTTCCATTTAATTACCTGGTTAGATTTTTCACAACAATTCCCTTAAATTGTCATATTTCCGATTTAGAACAAATTAATTTTAATGAGTACTTAGGTTTGCTGATACAAGGGAAGTTGATAAAGTGTGTTTTGTTTTTCTCATGAAACCTTTGGTACTGTATTATTCCCTTTATGAGTACTTCGGTAAAAATAAGCACAAAACATGTTTTTTGACATGATTCATTGATAGAGGATGTTATCATTGGCTTATACACTTACTGATTAGATTAGAGTATATAATCAATGATAACAGATTAACAACTAATAAAGCCCCTAGAACACTGGCAGGTAACACATCCTCCAAAAATATTCTCTATAGGAATGCTGACCACAAAGGTGTCAAATGTGAAGTGACTGATTTAGTTGTTCCATCTTTTATTTACGTTTCAATTGTGCCAGAGATTTTAAATTATTAATAAAATTGGCTAAAAACACAAAATACCGGTAACAAACGTGGGTTCTGGTCTACCTGACAGCCTGAATTCAATTCAAAATGGCGGATTGAATGGATTAAAATATAGTTTGGGAATGCCTCTATTTTACAAGCTCTCAAAATTCTAAAACTGAATGTTTTCCAATGATTGTGTGCCTTATGTGCTTTTAATATAATAGAGCAATAGAGCTTGTATTGAATGAAGAAAAATTAATTTGTAACTAATATTTATAAGTTCAAATCTCATGAGGAAAAGACTAATTTACGGAAATTCAACATGATTTTGTAAATACTTAATAGAAATTTTCGAAGTTTTAGATCATCCAGAACATAGTTTGGATATTTTTTAATATTTAACCGTTTATTTAACTTTATTTAATAATGCCACGAGGGTTTTTTTTGTAGGACCATGTTTACGCCATAACCAGCTGGCGGGTGGAACCTTTTGACTTCAAAATGTCGAGCTTATAATTTTGAAACAACTAAACTATTTATTTCAAACTTTAAAAACGGACTCTAAGAAAAGTTATCAAATTAATAACACGATACACAAAACAAATCAAGTTTAGAACCAAACCAACAGGAAGTTGAAAATTTCCCGCTCTGTTCATCGTCTAAAATAACGTGACAGCTGACGTAAAACAGCTGTTTGTCCGCGCGTTCGGCACAACAATGAGGCGCAATGATCAGCTGGGTGAATGAAAGCGCCGATGACGATATCCCGGCACGAACAGCCGGTTAGGAAATGTGTTAGGTGTTGTCATATTTATTTTGAGCAATGATCACTGGTTATGTAAGTTGCGCGAAGGGCCTAGCTCAAGTGCGCAACCTTGCCATAACTTTATGTACGGCTTGTTTGAAATGCAATTCGCTCCTTATGTTGCTATGCTAATCAGATAACGTTTTAACATGGAAATCTGTTTTGACTCGCTTAGTTTCTTTTATGTATCTGGAGCGGATGTAAAATCGCTTGTTTGCATTCGGCAACAAATTTGTTGGTTGAGTAAACTAGTTACAAAAGTTCAATTAAATTGAATAAAGATTTCCGAAAGAGGAGATAGTTTGTTTACTTAATCATCGTAGAGTTTACTTGAATTTCCTGTAGTTTAAGTTGGCCAGGAAATCTGTCAAAACCCCCTAACATTGTGTGGATATGGGCTGGGATTGAACCCGTCGATCCCGCACCAAAGTCCGAGACTAATCACTAGACTAGAAAACACACTATAAATTTATATATTTTTATCAACTGCTCTGGACATTTGCTGTTTTCAGCTATTGTTTCTCCAGGAATAGCCCGTTTTGTGAGCTAGACTTGTAATATTGTAGGTTCCTTCCCTGAAGATAAGATCAGATTATAGATCCTGAAACGGCAACTTGATGTTTACCCGTTTAGCAATCAATGATAAAAATGTTTTCAGAAAAACGTCCAAGAATATAAAACCTTGCCATCATAATTATGAAAAAGAAAATACAAGAATTACTAAAACTTTGAATTTAGTAAATTGTTATAAAATGAATCGTAAAAAATTCTAAAACTATAAAAGGATGTTTATGCAATCAAAGTTTGATCAACTAACACTTACGAAGTGTTAATTTTTTTATTAAAACTTAAAACGTGCATTTTGATGTACAAAGTAATTGCAACATAATCATTCGAACTAATCAGTAGTGCTTTTTTGCTTGCTGTTATTAAAAAAAAGCAACCATACAAAATGTAGTTTGGGTATGCAGTTCAATATGAGTAAAATAGCGTATTCCCCGATAAATTCGCTTAAACTAAATTCGTTTTCACGAGTCAAAGATATCTTAATGCTAATAATTGACTAAAAATAGTACAAGTAGGCTACTTACCCTATTGTAAAATCTCAAGACTATTTCACGTGTGAGATTAGTTCGTATCGAGTGCGCTGATGTCAACTAAATGTTTATATTTTTGTGTATTATTAATAAAACTATTTATAAAAGAGTAAACACCTTCTATTTAATCTGGACATAAATAACCCATCAATCTTTATCAGCTTATACGATGATCGACGAAGTACGTTTACTCTATAAGTTTCATAATAGGAACTGGTTGGTAAGGGACTAAACTAAGAAACATTAAACGGTAAAATTATAACCCATATTTTCCCACATTAAAGTCTGCTCAAATAAAATACGGTTAATTTTGGCACTAAAAAAATCCGGCACGGTAAGGACCATCAACACTCAGGTGGGCAGTAGCCAGCAGCGAAGTGGGAAGTAACAATTAATAACTACCAAAAGTAATTAGTTGTGTTGTGACCCGTGTATTTGGCAGTGTATGTGTGTGTGTAGGCGGTGTGTATAGCTATGTGGCACACACACATACACCGTTATTTACGTTTTAATAACACATAGCGGCGTTTAATCCACAAATAGGGACTCGCCTACTACGCAGGGCACGTAATCAAACTATTCAAACCTTGAGAATAAAGTATCAGGACAGGAAAAGGCTCAAAAACCTGATATAATTTTGTAGGTACAATAGTTGTGTTTTTTGTGTAAACGGAAAGTAAATAAAAGAAACGTCTTATAACACTTAAAACATAATGTACGCTTATACTGTTACTCACAAGACTGTAAATATACAAAAAAGATGGTAAGTGGTGATCGATTTCTTTTGGACAATCATCATCAGACCCAATAGGCGAATCTTTTCATTAGGCTTTCTATAGGCTTTCATCATCTTAAGATTAGGGATATCTTTTTTCTTTATTTACCGTCTTGTGAGTAACAGTTTAAGCGTAAATATATGTTTTAAGTGTTATAAGACGTTTCTTTTATTTACTTTCCGTTTACACAAAAACACAACTATTGTACCTACAAAATCATATCAGGTTTATATTTTGAGCCTTGCTCAAAACGTACAATGCTGATCAAGTAGTTATTTTGTGTAACAAATAGCCTTTGTCAATATAAAAGCCAAAGAATAACATTGCTTGTTTGTATGTGACAAACTTTTAAGATTAAGATATTATTAGATAGATTAAAGATATAGATTTTAGATATTACTGAGAAGGTTCAGCATGTATGTGAGTTAGTAGAATGATCGAAAAAATACTGAAATGTCTTGGCTTAAGTTTCACGCATTTTTGAAACGTTTAATTTATAGTTCTCCAAAATCTTCCATTAATATTTATTTTTAATATTAACTATACATAAAAAATCTATTCTATTTGACATTAGGCCTACCCATCGATGTATATAACCTAACATACACATAGATGGACATACCATGGACATATCTAAAATAATTGACTTATTTCGGTCATTTATGTTTGACTTGTTTTGATCCTTTTAACTGTAATTACCAAGAATAGTATAAGGTTTCCTCCGGTTTTAGTTTTGTTCGCTTATTATTTAAAAATGGCGTGGATTAGGCCTGATTTTTATGATAGGTTTCCTAACCCAACGAAATTCCTCGAAAAATTCAATATTATTGCAGTACAACAGCATTATATTTTTTAAATATGAACCATTTGCATTAATCCTTCCCCAAAAGTTCATCGTTTTCATTCACAGTATGACATTTTCTACCATGTCCTTCTATTGCAAGTAAAAACTATTTGTTCTATGCAAACCAACAGAAAGTGTTATGAGAATTTAATATAATCAGTAAGATACGGTACTTTCTTTGATACGAAGAAAAATTATTTATTTTTTAGTAAAAACGCATACCGTACAGAAAATTACTCCAAAAATCTATTAAAAAAAATATAACTTACAGTAGAGTATAACCATTGTTGTTGAAAAGTTGACTATAATGTATTTAATCAAAAGTATAACTAAATAGTCACTACATCAAGACTATTCATAAAAGGCAAGATTTACAAATTTAGTCTGCAATCATACAAACGAATTTATTACACAAACACGAATTAAATAATTTTTGAAGGCATTGTTACTTACTGTACGGCGATTTATGGACACAGCAATTCAGCAATTATACTTCATAAACTTCACAAAGTATTTTTTACACTTACAGTATTCAATTTGTAAAGACATTGTGACTTTAGTAACACAATTTTTGAACACATTCCCCTGAATGAACTTGAACACATGAACTTGATTATTCACGAAAAAATCTACCTTTTCCAAAATTCAATGCGACTATTTTTTTCAAGTGGCAATGTTATCATACTACTACAACATCTTGTATTTTAGGTTAGGTTGGTCACAACTAAAAAAATTAACTGTGTAACATAACAATTATACAATAGCTGAAAATACTTGTTGGAACTACACTCGAGTTCTTAACACTTGTTGGCACTACACACAATACCTTGCAATGTGCGCCGAACGTCTGGTGAGAGCGCCCGGCGGTTGCCATGGGAGCGAGATGGACGCGGTCGAGGCGCGCACTGAAACAGCTGATCGACTGGTCATCTGACAATGGCGCGCGCCTGACGTCATACTACCACCACCATGCCGCGCACCGACCACCTGCACCTGCCCAAACGAAAAACAAAACTAAAACAACAAAATAACAGAAAATAAATAAACTTAAATAAACTTAAAAGTAAAAATAAACATGCACAAGTTAGGAGTCCAGCTATTCCGAAAATTCGTCTATTCCAAAGTACAGTTTGGACATTATTATTTTTTCAAGACGTTAGTACAAAGCTACCTTCCAGTCACGGTATGTCGTGAAAATCTTTCGCGATCGCAGACATCCTCGACTTCTCCTGTGATCGCGGTCAAACTGCAAACATCTTCCGCGATTGCGATAATAAATTAATTACCATCCGCTGATCCGAATTGGGTTCGGTACCAGTTAGCTCGGAATAGCGGGACTCTAACAACAACACAAATACAACAACATAAAAGAACTTAGAACAAGAATAATGAATGTATGGGTCAAAAAAGGGTACAAACTCAATTTAAATAGACTAAAGAAAAAAATAACATGCATTTTAGTATTTAAAAAAAAAAAAACATATAACAACTTAGAACAAAATAAATAATGGTAAAAACGTATGGCTATACAAGGATACAGACTAAAATGAAATATAAAATGACGAGGAAAAATAAAATGACCAACTAACAAAAAATATTGAAGGGCTCCAAAAACTCGAAGCTTGATATCTCAAATTCCTTGTTAAATTATTCGCAATCATCTAGGAACCCCGGTAACTTAACAATGCTAAAGTAGAAGAAAACTAGAGGAAAGCGTGATTACAAATAGCGTAATGTAAATTACTTGATAGACAAGGCATTTGATTGCTTTGGACTAATCGGATCGGATTTTAACCTCAAGACAATTTCCAGATAATTAACGACGATAGTACAATACTTGTTGATAACAGTGACAACAACTCAATCATCACTTACTTATTCATAGGTAGTCCCAGCCGACATAATACGATGTTCATATACAGTATCCACTTGGAATTCACAATAAATATATCCCATTACGTATGCCCAAAATCCCTTAATTCTTCAACCACCATTCCCAATGCGGTTCGCCAAAAACGGGTTTCGTCAAATTCTGCCAGACATTTGAAAATGCACCCAGGTAAATCGGGATTGCTCAGGAATAGTTCAGGAATAAAGATGACGAACAGCATAGTGTTTAGTGTCTAGTGTGCTTTTATCATCTCATAAAACAATATTTTAGTTTATTCTGTTATATGTGTTGCATTTAATACAGAAATACTGCAAAGATTGCCAAAACGTGTCCAGAATATGACCTTTTTTGGTATTAATTTTATTTATGTAGTCCAGACTTTTATTAATCTGGACAACTTGCGTCTGCATCTATACAAGAAGTAAGAAGTATTAAGTTAAGAAAAGTAAGACGACAGATATTCGCCAGGATTGTCGAAATGACGTTTCTCTTTCTTGAATCGATGTGATTCATTGAAAATATATGAACGAAGTGGCGAACAGTTGAACTCGTTTCAACTCTAGAACTATATTGATACCAAAAAGTAAGTATTGTATATTCCTCGACTTACTTTAGATACCTACTGAATAAAACATATCTTCTTTACGTACCAACCAGATGGACGGGACTGGTTGTTCTACTCAAAGATGACTTACTGTAGTTAAATCCTCATAGGGTGTTATACTGTTACTCTTTAAGTTATTTTAAACATGCAATATGGGGGATAATATATAGCATTCCGGCCTGTAGTTAAGTAGTTTTGAGGGGACAAAACATGTGCAAACTATTAACGGACAAACGAAACATTTCAAAATATAGTGAATAACTTAAAGATAATTAATTCAATTTAAACTTTCGAACACCAGTTTTTCGAGTATGCTGTCAATTTCACATCCATGTATGCTGACAACATGATGAATAATCATGGTACAGCGAATTGTACCTTAAGACGAATCTGTTATACAAATTACCCATGGACTTGATTATTTTAATAGTACTGTATTTAGATACGTATCAGAGTACCTAATCGACCAAAATACTCCATGACAGTAAAGAGATCTGTTATTACTACACAAGTCTGGATTATTAAAAGCGGTTAATTTTCTCAAGAAATATTGAGTTCCAAGAATGTAAATGTACGGAAAACTTTAAATTTTGTATGGAAATTTTCTTATGAAATCGTCTACTGTGTGATCAACTCGTGGGACTGAAGAGACCAAGAGACCAGGACCACGTGCCGTGGGAGGACCAGGTAGCTGACCACGGAGGAGGCAGAGTCGTGGGTCGTATGACGTGGTCGGTCACCGGTCTACCCACGGGACCCACCCGGTACCAAGGGACAAGTTTGGGAGAAGTTATTGTGACGTTTGGATATCTCTGACCACGCACAATGTTTGTCGAGTTTGTGGCTGTTGACCTCAGGAAATTGAAAAAAATCCTACTCAAATTCGAGTGAACTATTAATTTCCAACGGATAGCTCCAAATATACATGTAAGAGTACAAAATCTTCAATCAGTTGTCAATCAACCAATCAAAAGATGGGGAGCTACCTATGTGCGTATTTAAACCAAATATGAGTGTAGAATGAAATGTGATGATCTGTGTAGCTTTTTATAGTCAGGATCCCCAATACTTTAATACTTTTCAATGAAAATGGCGACCATACAAAGAAGATATTTTAAGCCAAGTATGAATGGAGATGAGTGTAATGATCAGGAACAGCTTGGTTCAGTTTCGAACCTTCAAAAAGCTACTGACTTTTCTGAGGATTGATCCAGCACCTTTTGATTGTTAGTCGAGTACAATAATATCTCAGCTACCCTTATTGCAGAAGGTGAAGGTGGCTTGTAAACAACTACAAACTCAATAAAAGAGTAACACATTAGGCACAACAAGGCTAAACAACAAAACGAGATGTTGGCAGCCTCTTTTAAACTTGCATTTGCACGTACACATAGACTAAGCGCCCGTGCGTGGATCGTTTACAGCAAAGCAAGGAGTGAGCCGGTACAGTACAAAGGTGAACTAACTGTACTGATAAATTTTAGTGGCAGTGACCAGGATCCGAACATACGACATCGCTGCCTTGGGCCCGATGTCCGCGACGCTACCGACTGAGCCACCGACTCACATAAAAAAAAATTAAAAAACTTTTAATGATAAAAATTGAAAAGGGTAACAAGAAAAAATATGCAGTAGTGCAGATTCCAGACTGTAGACCTATCATACTGACCTATAGTATGTATGATGGGACCTGTCATAGGACTAGCAGCCAGCCCCCATGTAGACGAAGGGAGACAGGTTTCATCATACAGATTATAGGTCTGTTGATCATTACACAATGGCGGATGACAACACAGGCTTGATGAAGCGTCTCCAGTATTCGCGACTGACCTGGTCGTGGTCACTTCTTGGCAACGACTGCTGTATTCAACCGTTGTCACCACTCTCTTCACCGCTAATGTTCCAAGATGTACTTTTATGTTCCAAGTGTGTTTACTGTTATTTCGTTTTATTCTCCGTACGGGACTTAACATATTTTACCACAATTATACAACTTTGCTATTATACCGACCACACCTGGCTACCCTTAGGTTAGGTTAGATTATCTTATCCTAACCTAACCTAAGGCGTGGTAACCTAACCTAACCTAAGGTGTGGTAACCTAACCTAACCCAATTTAGGTGTGGTCGATACAACACAACTGTACCTCGCTTTTGATCAAAGACACACAAAACATATTTTTGGTTGTTATCTAAAGATACACTTAATTTAATTTCATGCTAAGATTCAGCCGGTACATCGAAAAATAAATCATCGAAATCGAATCGTCGATTGAGTGTACTGTTTACACTGATTTTTGTCAAACGCCACCTTCCAAATCATATCTAACTATAAGAACAACTGGGTAAACTTCCGTATCTGTTGACACAAACAACCGAATGAAAATATCGATCAATATTTTCATTCGGTTGTTCGTGCCAACAGATACAGAAGTCTCCCCAGTTGTTCTTATAGTCTACCTAACAACTAACTACCAACTATAGCATCTTCGACGTCCCTTTACACTATCATGACATTAAAACCTACATTTGTATAATTTAGATAACATAACTAAGACTGCAAGGAAATGGTCTCTCAGATCTTAAACATCTGGAGAATTTGTTAACACTGCATAAATTTTCATCCGACCATTGAAAAATGTATGTTTAAAAGAATCAAAATGACGTTTCGGCAACACCTACAGTGCCGTCACCAGTCATCATCAGGCCCAATCACAACGAAGAATATCTCCGTGATATCATTTATGAATCATAGACTCTCGCCCAGAATCGTTCAGTGCCATTATGATATCTCGAAAGTGGCTTTGTATCCTGTAGAAAAAGTTAACTGTCCCCTTATCAATGTAGAATGTTTACATCAAGTTATTATACATGAAACACAATTACAGTTTTTGTTTTTTTTTTTAAGGAAGTTGATTTTTATCGTAGACGCAGGTTGTTTTTATTAATTTTAAGACAGCTCTACACAATACGGAATAATAATAGCACACAATAATGGTAGCACCGGTTAAAAATTTAACTAAGATTCAAGATAGTTTTCCCCACATAATTAATTTAATTCTAATGAGAACCTATGACTTTTCTTTCTTTATTTCAGTAAGGTTTTTACAACCGTGTTGTTCCGTAAACGTATATTAACATTGAAACACTATCCATTGATACCACCAATTTTAACAGTTAAGTAATAGACACTTTTCCGAATGATGGTTGTTATCTTAGAAAGTGTCCATTTTACGGCCGGGAAGAAGGAAGAAAAATGTAAACAACACTACAAAACATCTTTCATTTGATATATTTCGAAGATAAGAATATTAGATCTTAAACACATAATAAACAAGAAACACTATTGACTATGACAATTCAAAATACGTATTGTATTCAGGCTCAGACTATCAAAATATATTTTAAAACATTTTGGATCCACAAGGATGTTCAAAGTTGGGATTTAATTATTGTGTTTGGATGTTTGGTGTTTAGAACTATTTTTTAAATGTTACTA